ATATAAAACCTCTATAGATTCTTGAAGCATTTCATACAAAGAGACCTCACTGTATTTGCGTGTGAACTTTACAGCACAGCTGTAAATGTGGAGTGCCAACTCTTCTGTAAATAAACCCCTACCCTAAGCTCTGTAAAAAAATAATAATAAATAATTTTTTAAGACTTCATTTAATTTTATTGGCAATAATACTAGTAGGAAAGGTATGATGGTTAATTTCATGTATTAATTTGAGTTACAGTGTCCAGAAATTTGATCAAACATTATTCTAGAAGTTTGTGAGGTGATTTTAGAATAACAGCAGTATTTAAATAGACAGGCTGTGAGAAAAGCAAATTAACCTCATAATATAGGTAATCAGTGAAAAGAGTTAATAGAACAAATACTAATCTTCACTAAAGTAGGAAAAAACTCAGTATACTTCCTTTGGTCAAGCTGCTACTGCCCTGGGTCTCCAGCCTGTCAGCCAATCCTGGTGATTACTGATTCTATAAATCATGTGCCAATTCTCTAATATCCCTATCTCCCCCACATGTATCATATATGCACAGGCACATATATACATCAGTCCTTCCTTATCTGTCATTCCATGTTCTGCAGTTTCAGGCACACAGAATAATGTGGGGCTTGTTTTAGAATGAAACAATTCATACATTTTAAATTGTACAGAGCTTTAAGTAGAATGAGAAGAATCTCACTCTTGTCATCCCATCTAAGACATGAATTGCTTCTTCTGTCTAAGCTACCCATTGCTAGTATTTTAGCAGCTTTCTTCATTATCTTATCAACATTATACTGCTTCTGTTTAAGAAACTCTTGGTGTACTTAATAATAGTCTCTAAAGACAAGAATTGAGATACTGACAATTCAGACACACCAAAGTGAAACCACAAATAAAGTGAAAAGGTAAAATTCTTGACTTAATAAGGAAAGAAAAAAATTAATTGCTGACATTAAGATCTATAGTAAGAATTAATAGGTATAAACATACGATAGATAAGGTTGGTGTCTTATTTTATTATTGCTATGATAAAAACACTGCCCAAAACCAACTTGGGGAGGAAAGGGTTTATTTGGCTTACTGCACAGTTCACCATCAAGAAAAGTCAAGGCAGGAACTCAGGGCAGGAACCTAGAGGTAGGAACCTGGAGCAAAGACCATCCATGGAAGAACTCTGCTTACTGGCTTGCTCCTCTGGGCTATGTTCAGCCCACTTTCTTACACAACTTGGGACCATCTGCCCAGGGCACAACCCACAGTGAGCTGGATCTTCCCATATCACTCAGCAATCAAGAAAATGACCCACAGACATGGCCATAGAAGCAATTCCTCAACTGAGATTCCCTTTACCCAGGTGAGTCAGGTTGACAACTAAAGCTATCCAACACAGTTGGATAGTATCCATGTTCCCAAATATACATGGTCTTGGAACACACCATCCACAATATAAACATGAGATTACTGTACATACACACATACACACACACATACACACACACACACACACACACACACACACACACACACACACACACACTGGTTTATACTCCAAGGGTTCACATTTGAGATGTTTATTCTCCAGGGGGCAATGTTAGAGGTGGGTTAATCTTTAAGAACTGGGGCCTAGTGTGAGAGGAGGGGATAGGATCACCAAGGGTACTGATCTCAGAAAAAAACTAATGAAATTCTTACAAGACACTTGATATAAATGAACAAGGCTGGCCTCTCCCCATGTTCTAGCTTCCTACTGCACCACGTAAATTCTCCCTCTCATATGTGTGACCTCCATGATGTGATCCACCATGATGTGATATAAATGATGGATCCCTCAGTATAGCTGGTACCAAGGTGTTTAGATGTTTAGCCTCTAAAATTGAGCTACACATCTTTTCTTTAAAAGTCACCCAACCTCAGCTACTTTATAATAGAAGTAAAAACACATGGCTGGCACATACACACACACACACCACAATATTGGTTCTTTTTCTTTGGACAGTTGTGACTAATACAGGATACTGGAAAATTAAAGCAAAAAAGAAAAAAAAACAGGAATACAAATTCAAATACATATCTTGTCTCTAATCATTGCTGAAAAGATTATAGAGTTCTCAAGAGACTATCTTGTGATTGAGTTTCCATACCCTAACCACTAAGCTGGTGAAAATTTTTTTTGAAATCTGATTTGGTAAAACAAATTAACTCTGGGAAATAATTTCTCAGATCCTTAAAGGGTAAGCATAGTTCACTTCTTCTACAGGTAAGAGAAGCATTTATCCATAGAAAGGCTTGTACACAAATGTCATAACAGTCACATCCACATTAGCCACAAAAGAGCAAAAGTCATAAATGACCATCAACTGATAAATGGTAAATAAAATGCAGTATACCCATTACATGGAAGATTCAGCAATAAAAAAAGAACAAAGTGGGGCTGGGGTGTAGCTCAGTAACAGAGCACTGCCTAAGATGCATAAAGCTCTGACTTTGATGCTGAACACCACAAAATAAATAAGTAAATAAAATAGTTTAAAAGCACATGCTAAAGCATGGATAAGCCATTAAGTAAAAGAATGTCAGGAAAGAAAACTACATATTAGGCAAATTAAGAAAGAAAAAAACACAGATTAGTGGCTTTCAGGGACTAGAGAAAGGTAAACAGAGATTTAGTGCCAATGGATATGAGGTTTCTTAAGGGGTGATGAAAATGTTCCTAAATCAGTGCATTGGTGATTGCACCATTTGAACAGAGTAAATACTGAATTGTGCACTGAAAAGGTGAATACTTCAATTGGTGAATTGCAATTTTTTAAAAAAAGTTACAAAATAAAAAAAACAAATCAAGGGGCTGGAGAGATAGTGCAGAGGTTAAGAGCACTGACTGCTCTTGCAGAGGACCTGGGTTCAATTCCCAGCACCCACATGGTGATTAACAACCATCTATAGCTCCAGTTCCAGGGTATCTGACGCCCTCTTCTGATGTCCATGGTCATTTCCCGATATGGGTGCACTTACATACATGCAGCCAACACACTAGTACACATAAAATAAAAATAATAAATAAAAACATTAAAAAAAAATCAACTCACCTGCCCTTTTTGTGGTGCCAAACAGCGAACAACTTCATCCACCATGACTGGAATATGCAGTGGAGCTGTGGCTTCAGCATCTCTGTCTTCAAGTCTATGCAGCTTCTCAGCTCCACACTGAGCTCCTTGTTCCTGGGCTTCATAGTCAGTATGTATTTCTACTGTTGAATGCAATTTCTTTGCCCAGACACCTAAATGAATTATGCCAGACTCCACTGAGAATGAAAAACGTCCTTTATATATTCTACAAAAATAAGGGTGTCGAAGCATTCTGTAGGCCAACAAATCTAAAAGAGAAAGTTAAAATATGATGACTTTTGGGTTTTATAAAGTTATAATTCTTGAGAGAAAGATAATTAATATGAGAAATTTTAATACAATAAGAAAAATGTAGAGTCATCATCTGAACAAGTTGACTAACTTCCTTATATAAAACAAGGAACCTAAAAGAAAATGTTCAAGCATAATTTAAATATAATTTCTCAGTGATACAGTGAATACATCTTTAATTCCAGCAATTAGGAGGATGAGGCAGGATTGCCATGAGTTCAAACCAACATGAACTACTGTGAGACATTGTCTCAAAACATTGACTAATAAGTGTAATTTTGATGTGGCCTCATAAGCTCTAAAATTATTAATTTTTAACCCTCATCAATATGAAAATTAGTTATTCATCACTTCTAAAATATGTTTTTTAATTAGTTCTAAATTCAGTGACTTAAATTTTTTTAAAAAAGCAAGCTAGATAATGAAAGTGGATATAAATGTTCTACTCTAGGTTCAGGCCATCTTTTATTTCAAGCATTTTTATTTTTCTCACAATGTGAAATTAACATCCTTGATGTAGTTTTGTATGAATGATTGAATATGGACACCCAAAGAGAAAAAATGATGACATTGTGAAAGTCTTGCTGATTCTCTGACAAAACTATCTCACTACAACATGTATCACTAGAGTGCATACTTGCTTACACTACAACTTAACAAATTCAGCTGGAAACATTGGGAATTTATTATTTTTAATTTCCTGCAATGCCTAGATTAAATCCAGCTTATATGTGCTACATATACGAACAACCACTGAGTTATATTCCCAGCACTTGTTTTATTGAGACAGTCTTGCTATGTAGCCAAGGATAACTAGAAACTTGATAGGTGCCTCTGCTTCCTAAATACTAAAAATAAAGGCACATGACAGGAAACTGGGCTACACTTTAGTATTTCCTATCCACCTTTTGGATTTGGTTCATCTATATAGGGTTTGTTGATATTGTTGCTATTTGTTGCTGTTCTGTTGTTGCTTGGGGGGTTGCTGTTGGTATTTTGTGGGGGGTTCTTTTTCTTAGGCTCTTTTGGTGTTAAACATTGAACCCAGAGTCTATATACACTAAGATCATTCTCTACCTCTAAGCTATATCCCCAGATCCCTACCCTTGATTATCTGCCCTCTCTGCCCTAAAACCAAGCAAGTAGATGAAAAAAGTCCTTAAAGTTCTCATACTTTCTCCCTCTTCTTCTTCCATTTATACTTCTGAATTTACACTTCTGGGGGGGGGGATATTGACATAAACATATTAACAGAAGGGTTTTTGAAAGTATGCTTCATCCAATTAGCTTCAAACAATGTTTTGAATATTATCTCAGTAAATCCCAGTTGGCACTACTCTTTCTTTCTCATGGATTAAGGGTTAAGAACAAGTCCCATAACTTTGCATGAAATCTCATGAACTTAGTGTGCTTAATAAGTGGGGGTTTGGGGAGGAGACATACAAATGAATGAAAACTTTCAGATTTCACGGAATCAAATTTTTTTAGTCTTCACTTCAGGAAATTTAACCTGTCTGCCCCACTAAATCTTCATGTTTTGAAAATGCTCAAAGAAACAAATCCCATATATTATTACTTCCTTTTGCAATAGAAAATGAAGAGTCAATCACATGTACTGACCAAAACAGAATGAAGCACAAATATACATAAATATGTTATATAAATATAACATGAATAAAATGCTACCTTAAGGATAATACACTAACTTTATCGAAGAAACAGTCCATTGGATTATGTAACAATGTGAAACAGGGAAAGTAGGGGAGGAAAAGTAAACTAGAAATGAGATTCTGAAGTAAATTTCTGGATCTTAAACATCAACAAATTAATCAACCGTTAATTATGCTTTAGGCTCTCCAAAAAACTTACACACAGCAAACCCAACTGCTTTCTAAGTTGGTGTATCTATTTTTTTTAATAATGACTAATTTTTGTTCAGCACTAAGTGGTAACAATTCTAAGCATACTACATGTTTTAACTCTCTTTCCATAATATTTAAATCTTTTCCATAACATTTGGAGATTCACACTATTATTCCTATATTACAGCTGAAGAAAATGAAAAAGATAAATTATTTGCACCTAGCCAGAGTCATAACTGTGATAACTATGTAACCACAAGAGATGTCTTCAGAGCCTGAAATCTTAGTCTCCAATGGATCATATTTAATGTGTTCAAGTATTTCAATGGTACACTACACTATGTATGTATAACATCTCAGGAATCGTATTTTTAATGGAGATTGCCTCCACTTGGAAGTAACAGTGTGTTGTGAGATAGCCAATAAAAGACTTACAATATGTCAGGCAAAGAGTGGAATCCAGAATATTTAAACAAGCTATTCTATGTCCAGATTATTTTAAAACTTATTTTTACTATTTTTAACTGTGGGGTGTGTGTATATGTACGTGCGCTGGTGTCCAAGGTCAGAGGCACTGGTTTTCCCAGGAACTGGGATCACAGGCAGTTGTGAGCTTACAGATGTGGGCGCTAGGGACCAAACTCAGGTCCTCAGCAAAAGCAGTACACACTCTTAATCACTGAGACATCTCTCCAGCTCTATGCCCAGACTTTGACATTTTTTTTAATGGAAGTATTGTTGTCAATTAAAATATCAGGAACTATGTGGGGAAAAAGTAAGTAAAAATAGACACAAAAATATTACCACCAGCATTTTATTCTTTATTGTACTCAATTTCTATGTATTTATTCAACTATTTTCAAAGCAAAACGCTAACTGGCTAGTAATGCAGGTAAACATAGGGAAAGGGCTCCAAATAAATGATTATTTGTAATTGTTATTTCCTGGAATACATTCCTAAAAATTAATAGGAGCAAACTGTAAATTCCTTCTTTGTAGCCTAGACTCCAAATCAACAACCCTGATCCCCTGGTAATCTTGTAAAATTGTTAGGTTTACTGCCAGTTTGTAAAACTGGTCTCTAAAGCAGATTGCACTGTGTTCTAGATAAGTCACTTCACTTTTCTCTACCAGAAAGTTTCTTTAAGCTTTGAGACTTGAAAATTGGACAGATTACTCCTTTAATTTCGGGACTACGACGTGATGCCTCTGAAGTACCCTCAAGGGTACTGAAGGTTAACTATGATTAGTCTGCCCTGGGCGGAAATGTTTGGAAGTGTAATTTTAAAGGGAAAAAAAAAAGGCGATCTGGAGGCTGTTAACTCGAATATAGAAAAAAAGTGAAAGTGAAAAGCATACTAAAGGGAAGGAAGAATGCCAAACAACTCTATTCTGACCAGGGCAAACTGCTGGGAAGCTTCAAAGTCAGGCTGACAAGTGGGGGGCGAGGAAGTCGGAGGACAGATGTCATTCCCTGGCAGAGGGAGATCCGCCCATCTTCCCGCCCGTGCACCCAAAGAGCACTGTCTCCAGAAAGAACCAGGGTTGGGCCACCTCCTCACCTGAGGCACGAAGATTTCTCAAGCAGTCTTTAAGTGGGGCCAGCGACAACGCTAAAACGTAAGAGTACCTGAGTGTGTGTTACACCTATGTCCCGGGCCTGGGGGAAACTTGTAAGAACGGACAGGTTGGCCCCACGTCCGTCCCAGCAACTGAGGACCAACAGCCTTTGGTTCCGCTGCTTCCAGCCTCAGCTGCCAAAAGGTCTCCTGGGTCAGAGGTTTCCAAAAAACTTCCTGGGGAAAGAAGGATAAGACCTGACCGTTGCCATGTTTAAATTCACTTTTAAGGGTTTAAAAATATTTGGATGTCTAACACACGTTAAATGTAACTTTCAATTTTCCTTCTCTTCTGTTGACTATAAAAATATATTAAATTTGTAATGGCACCGCATTTAATTGTACAGTGGTCCAATTTCTAACCAAAGGTGAAAATACCAATGTCCCAACCTCTTTAGCTCTGTATGTGCGGAGTTTAGATTCTTTTTCTTCTTCTTTTTTTTTCTTTAATTTTCCCCCACCCCCAAAAAAGGTCATTCTTTTCTCCAGTTATACTTCTACTAAAGATTCGCCAGCTGGCAAAGTAGTGACATTGACTGCAATGTCCAAGTCTCTCCGCTATTATCAAATGTATGATTCCTTGAGCATTTGCATCTCATAATCTGAACAGTGCTGTACAGAAAGTGCAATGCTAAACTGAAATTAAATGTAGAGTATGTGGATTAGTTAGATGTCAAAAACAAAAGAAAAAGATGAAATTTAAAACTTTGATTTACTTGTTCACTTACCAATGCAATTGTACAAGATTGGTAAGATAAACATTTTTTTCAAACTAGATTAAAATACCATTTTATAGTGACTTAACCTAGGAAGTATTTCAGAGACAAATTTTTATTGATTTGTGCAAGACAAATATTTCCCTATATTGTCCGAAACTTCAGTTTTCTCTCAGTAAAATGAAAGTAACAATGCCTACATCTTATAGGCTGTTTTGAAATGGGTGAGGTAACATGTAAAGTGATTAACAATATGCCTGAGACCCTAAAGGTAAAGTAATATACAGCATAGGGCATATTAGAAACAAAATTAACAGACTTCTCAATTTTATTACCAAACTATTACTACACAAATAATGTCATTAGCCGTTACATATAATGCAGCCAGCAATATGTAGTAACTTTACTGATGTTCTATCCAAGATTCAGAAATAATCATATAAAATTCATGATACATAATATACAATGCTCACATTTTTTTTCTTCCAGTAGAAATACAGACTGTCCATGACCTACGAGTTTTACATATGAAACAACACTAAGAACACTCTACACTAACGCATCCTATTTGTACAGTGAGATATAATTTCCAGAATCTAAACTCCAAGAGGGCAAGGAAGTTGACTTCATTATGTACTAAAAGTGTCCTCCTAAATATTTTCTAAATAAACTAAATAAACGGAAAAACAGTAACATAAAGAACAATGACATTCGGATCCTGAGGGAGCAAGTCTGTAATTGACTGGCAGAAGACTTGCTTAGCAGGCAAGAGTCCCTGGGTTGGGTCCTCTGCACTACAAATATAAAATACCCTGCAAAATGAAAATGAGTTATCTTAGCAAAAATATTTCCCATTTACTATTTCTTCTTTAACTATACAACCAGAAATTCAATCTGGGACTTAAAATGAATCACTTCATCCAATAATGAATTAAGCCAATATCGTTAACGGAATTTATTTTGTAATGTCATCATCATTACAGCATGTAAAAAGCAGACAATTACCAATTTTAGTCAGCACTAACGAGAGCCCTGGCAAGGGAACCCGGGAACCTGGAGTCAGAAGACTTGTACTTCCAATTACCTCTGGTGAAGAGGCCCCATACTTTCCAGGGCTTGAAACCTAATCACTTAGAAGCCTGGTTAATCTAAGGGGAAAAGAACCCAAATCCACTAATCCACACCGGACAGATCCCGCCTTTCCCGTTAGGAGGAGGGGACAACCCAACCCAGCCCACAAGGCCTCACTCACAGCCTGACCCCCGAGATACTACCCTGATCTGATCCCAAGTGGGCCGGGTGGCAGCCTCCCATCTGCGCCTCTGCCCTAGCTCCGCCCACCTTGGCCACCGCTTCCGGAAACCACCGCGCGCGTTGCCCCGGCGACGCACGGACAAGCCTCTTCCACCCCGCCCGTTAGGCCTAGCTTCTGGCGCCTATCTGCAACGCGCCTCGGTAGCGTCCGACGTGATGACGTCATGAGAGCGGCAGCCAATGAAACGCTGAGTTAAGGAAGCTGGCTTGGGTTTGAATCTTGTGGTTGAGTTTGAAGCGCCGGGAGGCCGAGCTTGAGGTGAAGTGGTCGTGCTCGTTCTTCTGGGTGAGTGAGGGGGACTCAGTGTCTAGGGGCGCGGCCGTCCAGTCCCCGAAGTCTCCTAGAGCGGAGGCCTGGCCCCAGGACTCGGGGCGTTCGGCAGGATTGCGGACGCCGCTGGGGGGCCGGGGATCCGGGTCTGGGGCGGTGGAGGGGGGTGGGCTGGCAGGTAGCAGCCGATGCTGCCGGCAGAGTCTGCAGGGCCAGCCCACTGCTCCCGGCTGAAGCCCATGGCCTCCGCCCGTCGCTCCCGATAGCCAGTCCGAGCCTTTAAAGGGGAGCTTGGCCGCGGTCCCAGGCTCCGGCCGAGGACTTTTAACAGTCCAGCCCCTTGGCTGTGCGGCTCCTTCCGGATTCCAAATTGGAGTTTCGTTTCCCACGCCCCGGAGTGTGCTACTTCTTGGCGTAGTTGTCTAGTGGTGAGCTTTCGGGCTTGCAACTTCGAGTGGAGGGGCCTCTCTGCGGTTCTCTGGTCAGTCGGGAGCCCATTTGGAGCATCCGGCAAGTCGTGCCCGGACTGCCCACCTGTAATTGCCCAGCATCGCTTGAGAAGATGAAAAGTGCCTGGAAGCACTAAGAAGCAGTCCCGCATTCTGCCGTTTCTAAAAGACTCCTTTAGGACTCGTTAGCCTTGCCCTTACAAAGAAGCTTGTGCTGGCTGACTGTGGTTCATTGTTGTATGAAAGGGGACTATTGGACTAGAAGTAATTTGATGATGTCATTCAACTACATGCAGTTCCCACCTTGGGTTTTAAGAGGTTTTCTTGAACTTTGGTGCTACAGAATACGAAACCCACAGATGAGATAGTATTTGCTATTAAGTTTGTATTATTTTGTAAGAGTTTTTGCAGTAAACAAAGACTATCTGCTTGAGCAGTAATCTTACATTATTGGACCTGTATTTATAAATTCATAAGATTTTTAATTTTAAAGAGCATGGCGTCCCACCATAGGTACACCTCAAATCAAATGAAGAGTCCACTAAGAGTGCTTCCCTTCTTCCACCGAACTTTTCTTCACTGATATTTGTAAGTTAGTAGAGTCTAAATATAACACAGAAGTTACTGTAAAGAAAGATTAAAGCTAGATAGAAACTGAAAATGAGGATAGTTCTCGGTCCAAAGCAGTGTTTATTGAATCAGAATCTAATTGAGATTTGAGTTTGAAGTAATTCATAGCTGCCTCACTCTACTTCTACACCTTTTTTGGAAGCATTCTTTTCATTTTTTTAAATCATGGAATTTGGATTTGAACCTGGGCCTGCATTCTGACACCCCATTCCTTAGCAGTGTCATTTGGAGAAATTACTAAGTTCCTGTTTGTAAAAACACAAACAATAGAACCAACCTTGTATGCTTATACAAGTTTGGATGACATGCTAATTGTCAAATGTTTACTATAATGCCTAGCCGAGTAACTCAGATGATCCTCACTATTACTTGGCTGTCACCATATTAACCTAGACTTCTTTATAGCACATTTGCTAAGAAAAGCTACTTTATGATATTAGATAACCATAACAAGCATTATTGTCAGTTATATTGCAACATTCACTCAAGAGCTCCTGTGCTAAGGTCTGAGGTTTCTGTAAAAATATAACTATAATAGAGTTTACTAATTGGTGAAGGATGAGGGAAATGAAAGATATTAATGCAAACCTACAAACTAAGCTATAATTCATGGACTCTGACATCGCAGCATAGAGAATGCATGGTGATAAATTAATTTGATTATATAACTTGACTATGGGTAATTCTTATTGCCAATTAAATGTATTAATATTTTTTAAAGCAAATATATATTACTTAAGGAAAAACCTCTAAGGCCTGTACATGAATAAAATGCATTTTGAATTCTGTGTGCTTTATATAGTTTTATTAGTCAATTTTTTTGTTAGTCATATATTGGAGAATAATTTGATGTTGTGTCATACAGCACTGTTCACCTTTTCCCTATAGTACTTGCTATCTGTGTCTTTACTTGTCTGTATTAATATGGTCTTAGTGTCTGTTTCTCTAGCCCCATACTACTAGCAACAAATGCTTTTATCCCAACAGCTGCTGACCATTGTGTTAAATGCTTAATCCATGCTTAGTCCTTGGAACAATTCTAATGAGGTAGGTGTTCTGAGTCTCACTTTACAAATGAGGAAACTACCATAGGAGGTTAAATGACCTGCCCACTGTCACAGCCAGTAGGTAGTAGAGTTCAGATTTCAACCTAAGCTTTCTGGCTCCAACATCTAATAGTTTAATTATTGAATTAATAAGCAAGAGATAACCTTCCAATCATGAGATTCTAAGATTTTTTTTTTTAGTAATTACATTATAGTTGGTTGTGGCAGTACATGCCTTTAATCACAGCACTTATAAGGCAGAGGCAAGTGGCTCTCTGAGATTGAGGACAGACTGGTCTACGTACTGAGCTCCAGGCCAGCTGTTGCTGTAGGGTGACCCTGTCACAAAAACCAGCAAACAAACAAAAACACATATTTTTAACTATCTACATATTTATCGTTTTCTCAAATATGTATTTTAAATCAAAGCATTGTTGGATATTTTAGAAAGCTTTTTCAAATGTGTTTTGGGTAAGAATTTTTGATACCATGAGTGTGGAAGATTACTAGCCCTTAGTAGACCAAGGACAACTACACATCCTCTAATACATGAGACAAGTTCTCTAAAAAAGAAGAGAAAAAATCAAATTAACAGCTATGGTGACAGTATGCACAAGACCCATGTAAGTTCAAGCCAGACAAAATCCCAGCATAGAGGTAGGGAAGTGGGTAAGAAACCCAAACCCTAGCTGACGAGTTATTGGCAACTGATAGCTGCTGGGAGAGGGAGAGTCAGTTTTCTATAAGGGTGTGACGTTGAGTAGGTTAACCAGGCTCTTCAGTGGATGACCCACACCGAAGGGCATTTGGTGTCACAAATTTAATTCAATAGACATATGCATATATGTATATGTATGTATACCATATATATAATTTATAAAATATATGTATACCATATATATAATTTATAAAATATATATTGTAATGGAGTACATGAAATAAGGCCAGAGTGTTTAAGGGGGTTGCAGATACGGGAAAGGGTTCTAAATAGGATAAAAATATTGTGTAAAATTCGCAGAAATTCAGTTTAAAAAAAGGGAGACTCTTACTAAGTGCTAGTCATAACCACATTAATAACACCGGGGGATAGGCTCTTAGGGAAGAAGGGGCTGAAGTGGGGATAGAGAGAAGAGAGCCAACAGAGCTCAGATACTTGAGTAAACTTCATATTTGTTATCTCTTTGGCCTTCATAATAATTCTTTGAAGTACTAAGATCTCTTTTATGCCCGTAAGAAACTTAAGTAATTTATATGATGTTATATAGAACTGAGGCTTAGGTACTTTGTGAGACCTAGGTAGACAACGAGCAGGCAGAGTAGTAATTCACCAGGGACCTGAGGGTTAGAATCCAAATGACCATCTCTCCTCTCTTCAACATTCTGTTTTTGTGTTTTAAAAAAGGCAGAGCTGGGTCTAGCATCTGCTGTTTTTTTTTTTGTTGTTGTTGTTTTTTTATTCCTTTGACGTCATTTGAATTCTGTCCAAAAGTGTATGGCTTTGTGACTTATTTCAGTTCTACTGTTGCTATTGCTTTCCCCATTTATTAAAAAATAACAACTAAATGTCTTGACCTCTCCTTCCCTTACACCTCTGTCCCTTGTCTGCTCCCTTTACTGTAGTGCTTCTGGTGTCCACTGATTCTGAATCTTCTCATTTGGGCTTTCAGCCACAACAATCCTCCAAAGCTGCTGTGCATATCAGCCTCTGTGTTACTAAATTCCTTGCTTAATTCTCATTCTTACTTGACCTGTTATATGTATTTAACACAGTCACTGCTTTCCTTGATTTAAGGGTTTCCTAAAAGTCATAAGACTGTGTTTAGAGCAAAAACTGCATCAAGATACTAAGGACAGCCCTTTTTTGGCTTGGTTCCCAACTGCCTTTACATTTCCACCTGGATGTCTATTAACCTTTGTCCATTTACTATGACCAAAGTTGCACTCATGATTTTCCTACCACATACACACCCCCAAACTTGCTCCACACCCAGTTATTTCCATCTCATTTGATGGCTGTTTGATTTTTTTTTTTTCCCCCAACACTCAGGACAAAACCTTTTAATTATCTTGAATACTGTCTTTCCCTCATACCCTACATTTACCTATCAAGAAATTCTCCTGACTTTACCTTCAAAATAGAGCCAGAATCTTCTCTCTTCAACGGGTTAATCTATTTTATAGTATCTATACACAACTCACAACCTCTAGGCAATCATAATTTGATTCAGAATGTTAGCTTTGTTTTTTTTAGTCCCTATGTTTTTAACTCTAATCTTTCCTTTCTCCATTATAGTTAACACACCTAATACCATCCTAGGGTTTTTCCATTAACTATTTTTTTCTGCCTGAAAAGTAAATCTCCCAATCTCTACATAATAACTTTCTCATCTTCAAATCTGTACTTAACTGGTAATGTTTCTCATTTTTTTTATGTGAATGTATTGCTTGCATGTTGGTAGGCGCACCTGTGTCATGCAATATTCTCAGAGGTCAGAGTTCCTGGAATTGGAGTTATGTAGGTTGTTAGCCGCCATGTGGGTGCTAGGAATCAAACCCAGATCCTCTGCAAGGGCCACCAGTGCTCTTAGCCACTGAACCATCTCTCCAGCCTGTTTCCCAATTTTTTTAATTGACAAATGGAATATATTTATGAATGCAATGAGATATCTTACATATTCTTTGCTTAATGAGCAAACTAAGCTAAGTAACATCGATCCCCTTGCATTTCTTTGTGATGGAAACATTTTAGAGCCGCTCTGTTAGCACCTTTCACATTTTTACAGAATTTATAATTGTCTCATTTATATTGAGAAAGACCAGAGGAACCCTCTCCTCCCTGGACATCAGGCAGATATAAAGCATTGCTACAATCTGAAAAAGTCATTGTTCTAATTAACGATTAGCTCCTTGTGTTCATGTTGCAAGCACCCTTTCTAATGTTTCTTTTCCTGTAAATAAGTAAAGACATTATGGATTGGGCATCTGGATTACCTAACTCTTAACAGCAACTGTTTGCCATGGTTCCTGAAGTTTGTACCCAGCTTTTTACAGTCATATGCTTGGTGCCTAAGTGGTACAGATCCCGCTGGGATGAACCATTTTTACCTTGACCAGGGGTGAAATACTTCCCCTGGTAGACAGACTACTATAACTGGTGCTAAGGGATGGTGCGTCAGGTCCAATAATAAAAGTTCTCCTGAGTGGTTTTTCTTTGTCCACTTCATTTTTTTTAATATTTATTATTTTTATGTATATGCGTGTATTGCCTGCATGTATGTAAGTACACCCACCCGTGTTGTGCAATGCCTGCAGAGGACAGAAGAGGCTGTCAGATTCCCTGGAACTGGAGTTACGGACAGACAGTTGTTAGCTACCATGTGGGTACTGGGATTCGAACCCGGGTCTTCTGCAAGAAGAGTCAGTGTGCTTAACCTCTGAGCCATCTCTCCAGCTGTTCCTCACCTAGGAGCAATCAGTTGTTGATATTCCTTTAGATAAGATTGGGATCTGCTGTTCATTTTCCCAGTTCTATGCTGGGTTACTGTCTGGGAGTCTCTTGTGTCACCTTAGCCAATAACCCAAAGAAGGTATCACCTGTCTGGCATTGTTTCTTGTTATGTAGCCTTTAGCTATACATATGGACTCTTAAAAATTATATTGACCCTATTAATCTTTGGTTATACTTTCCTTTTGGATGCTTAAGGCCATACAGTTGGCCCAGATAAAACAATTTATTTTTTCTCTTAAGGTCATTTGAGGATCTGTTCTTCAGGGGTCACGTGGGCTTGGGAGGAACCCCTGGCTCCTTTCTTTTACCAGTTCCGTCTACGTGAAGATAAGTCAAAAGTCCTGCTCGACTATGGCTGGCTTCACTTGGAAGCATGGAAGAAATGTTTCCTCTGTGTTGACCCTCCTCTTTGTAGACTGGACACTGGTTCAAGTCCATCTTTTGGGGTCTCCATGGCCTCCTTGCTCAAGAGAACAGGTGACTCACCACAGTTACAGGACATTTTGAGAGATGCTCATAGTCCCCTGGAACTTAGTCGACCTAGGATTGCAAGGAGCAAAAAGTGTCCTTTATATCCCTCTGACCAAATTAGTATAGGCCTCAAAGTATGGCTGTTAAACATTCAAGAAGATTAGGCCCACTAGTCTGGTACTTTTAATTACCATGTGCCATGTAGATAGAGCTTGGGCAAAGACCAAATGCTCTCAGATAAACCTTGCCTAGGCGTATATTACATTTTTTGATCTGGTTGTATGTTTAATTTGTCAGTAGGTTGTTGGCCTAATATGGTTCCCTCTGGTTTTCTAAAACTAGCTAGGCATTGTTTACCTCTCACATTGTGTAACCCTTCCACCATGGTTTCCCCATAACCTTCCCTCCCTCCCCTTAAAATAGCCCCATTATTCTCCATATCTTCCTTGTTAACACATGTTTTCTACTGTTCTTCTCTTTCAGATTCTTTCTTTTCCTTTACTTCCCTGGCTCCTCTTTATTATTCTGGCTCCTGTAGTTATGTCTGAATACATAGGATACATAGTCACTTATAAGCATTTGGTGCTAGGATCTACATATGAGGGAGAACATAAGCTGTTGGGTTTTGTTTGTTTGTTTTCCTGAGTCTGTGTTACTTCACTAAGTATAACAGTTTCTAGTTCCATCCATTTACCTGCAGATTTCATGATTTCATCTTTCTTTCCTGCTGAGAGCAGCATTTTAAGAGCTTTTGCCCACCCTAGTTTATGTTCAGGCAGAACAAAAAGAACCTTTGGCCAGCTGATAATGATTAACTGTATTGTAGTCACTTTGTTTTGCTGTAGGTCGCCAAAATTTATTCCTACTTTAAAACTGAAAGTTCGCATTCTTTGACCAATATTTAATTCCCCTTTACCCCCATCCGTGTATATCCATCTATTTCCCTCTTCTTCTGGTAGCCATCATTCCATTGTCTACTTCCATTACCTCAAATGTTGGCATTGTTTGTCTAAGTAACGTGGTATTTGTCTTTCTCTACCTACTAGTTTCACTTCTCAAAGTAGCAACTGTATCTGCCATATGATCAACAAATAGAATCCCATTTTTCATGGTTGAGTAATATTTGTTGTTCAGAATATACCACATGTTTTTATTCATGTGTTCTGGGTACTTAAATTATTTCCACATCTTGACTAATGCTACATCAAATATAGGAGTGAAGACATCTCTTTAGAATACTGATTTCAGGTGCTGGAGAGGTGGCTCAGTGGTTAAGAATGTGTACTACTCTTACAGAGGACCCAGATTCAGTTCCTAGCACCAGTATCAGGTGGTTCACACCTACCTGTAACTAGATTCCCTCTCTGGACTCCTCGGGCACTTGCACTCAAATATACATAATTTTAAAGTAATGAAAATAAATTTAAAAACTATATTAATATCAGTTCCTTTGGATCTATGCCCAAAATGAGACTGCTGGATTATACTGAGTACCTCATATCTTTTAAGTTTTTTTCTTTGGTTTTTTTAGACAGGTACTCTGTAGCTCAGACTGTTCTGGAACTCACAAACTATCTCCCTCTCTCCTCCCACCTTAACCTTCCCAGTGCTGGAATTATAGGCATGAGCTACAATACTCAGCTTTAAATATGTGGCTAAATACTGTTTTTTGATTGTGTTCACATGTGTGTTTTGCAAAAGTGGGAGTATCTTAACATTCTAGATTATTTTGTGGATAGTTGAAGTTTCCAAATTATTGACTTTTGTTAGTTCTTTTTATTCATATGAAACAATCGTAAAGTCGAATCACAATTTTAAGCTCTTTTTGATCGTCTTTAAATTTTAAAAGATCAGAGATAGGACATACTCAGAGACTAATATCTCTGAATATACCATGTAGTATATACTGTTCCTGGCCTCTTTAGGCATGTGCTACTTTGTTGATACAGCCTTGGAACTAACCCTTTGTATGAGATGCAGGTTGACACTAGCCTGGATGTATCACTTTCTACTGCCAAGAGGCTTACAGCCAAGATCACTGTTATTAAAAGTAGTTCCCAAGCTAAAATTCTCCGATCATTACCCTGATACGATTCTGAAGATCCTTTCCTGTGTATTTCCATGACCCAAAATTATGCTAGAGCTATTGTGAAAATCCAATCATAAGTGATTCAGCTATTGTATTTCAGTTTAAGCTGAAGCTCAGAGTTTGGTTAATATTTCAAGTAAAGCAACTTTTATCATGATTTTGTGTGTATGTGGGCCATATGATTTTGTTTGTTTTAGGATGCTTCAGTATATAGGGTACATGTGTAAACAAACATATACATTTCCTCCAGTAATAAATTTGCCAGATGAATGGAACAGAAATAGCATCTCTGTTGAATGAATACTATGTGCCAATTAACATTCACTTTTTTCTCAGTTTCAGAGAACTACCTAAGCATTCATGTAAGCAGGAATCAAAATAACCAGTGATGTCTGGCACTGAGGAAAACTTGTGTCACCATATGAAAGTAGTTGTTCGTGTGCGTCCTGAGAACACAAAAGAAAAAGCAGTTGGATTCCATAAAGTGGTTCATGTTGTGGATAAACATATACTTGTTTTTGATCCCAAACAAGAAGAAGTCAGTTTTTTCCATAGAAAGAAAACTACAAATTTTGATATTACAAAAAGACAAAATAAAGATCTGAAGTTTGTATTTGATGCTGTCTTTGATGAAACATCAACTCAAATGGAAGTTTTTGAAAACACTACTAAGCCAATTCTTCGTAGTTTTCTGAACGGATATAATTGCACAGGTAATTGTTTCAGTTTGGGAGCTAACTTCTCCATGTGGTTGCAGCTTTATAGTTGGAGGGATGTGTACTTAGTTCTTTTCTTTAAATAGTCAAGTTTATCATAGTTTTATGCTGAAATTTTAAGACTTCAGTAGACTACGTTGAAGTGTACGGTTTCTTTCAAATTTAGTCATCATGTAAGAAGTACCTTTTATGAAGCTCCTCCAGTGCCTTGCTGTTGGCCTACAGACAGCCTTGTCGGCTTCCTCTGTTATTAAACCATATGCTTCTTATAACTGATAACAGATAGCTCACAATTGGTATTCTTTATTATGTCCACTGTTGACCTCTATAATCATCTGCCCATCAAAGAGCCTGACGTTTTTGAACTCTTGGCAGTTTCTTTATAGCACCATTTATTAGGTATCTCAGAACGTGGAAGCTGTATGAGAGCTGAGAATTTATGCCATTTTAGGATATGTTCAACCCAAAAAAGCATCTCTTGTGCATTGGAGAGGCACTAATTTGCCTTTCAGAAAAGACCATGTTGATTTCCCAGGTAAAGATATGTGAAATATCCAGTTGTTAATTCAGTGGTTATAAATCATAGAACACTAGTGTCTTATTTTTGTAATTAACAGTTTTTGTGGCATTTTTACAACACATTCTAGAACTGTATCATGTTTCATCATGAGTGTCATGTTGAACTGAATAACAGAAGACTTAGCCCCTTTATTCTTTATTTATATATATAAAGATATAAAGTGGGTTTTTTTGTCTGCATGTATTTAAGTGCACCCATGCATGCCGTGCCCACGGAGGCCAGAAGAGGGTCGCAAGTCCTGCGGAACTTGACTGTTGTTAGCCACCATGTGGGTTCAGGGGTGTGGACTCAGGTCCTCTGCAAGAACACCCAGTGCTCTTAACCTCTGAGCCATCTTTCTATCACCCCTCTCCCTCCCTCCTTGTTTCTTGATCAACAAAATATGGTTTATTGTTTGGAACTACTGGTTTTCATTTTTAACCAATGGTCTTTCTTCATTAAACTTCGTATTGTCCTAGAGATTTTTAAATTTTTTCATTTTCTTGATTTAAAGTTTTCTCTGACTTAAAAAAGTAAAAAATAAGTATCTGCCAAGACTGAATCTTTGATTTCTCTTTTCTTTACTCTGTATTCTTATCCAGCTGTTAAGACATCTTACATAAGATAAAACAAAGTAAAATACAAGCTTAATTCATTCTAAAAACTATTTTATCAATTAATAATATATGAGAATGTAATGTCATAACTGAATACTGTACTGAGTGTTTACCATTTGTATCTCTGAGTGGATTCCTTGAACATTTGAAGAAATGCAGGGGTCGTACATGGTGTTAGATAGTCATGGAATTAAATTAATTTACCAAAAAACAACATTCAATAAATGACTTCTATGGATTTGAGCAAATGAGCAAAGTTGTACACCTGCTCTGCCTCATATTATTGCTAAGTCAGTAGGATACATTTTCTGCCTTGGTGGAGGCAAACATTCAATGTGATGTGTGCTCTGATAGAGGGATATGAATAAATAGTATATTCAGGAGATGTTTCTACCTGTGACAATTGGGGACACACAAAAGACCATTAGTGCTAAGTAGGAACAGGGGGTATCTATTGAATTCAAAGTTGTTATTCAAAATATCCATATAGAATTAGCCACTAGGGTGTATTTGGTAATGTTATGCTGTAACAGCGAACTTTGAACTTTCATTAAAAACTCAGTACTTGCTTATGGTGCCACTGGAGCTGGGAAGACGCACACAATGTTAGGATCCGCTGCTGAACCTGGCGTGATGTACCTAACAATGCTAGATCTTTACAAATCCATGGATGAGATCAAAGAAGAGAAAGTATGTAGCACTGCAGTTTCTTATCTGGAGGTAAGCTGACACTACCTTTTTTTTATGTTAATAGCTGTTTTTGAGAAAACTCAATTGCATGTTAATATAATTTAAATTATACTGGACTCTTACTCATTTTTTTTTGACAAGATTTCAGACTTACAGAGAAGTTGCAAAGATAGTATATAGAATTTCTAGATACCCTTCACCAGAATGCCCCATATATTAACATTTTTTACGTTTGTTGTCTCTGTTGCATGTGTTGTTTCTCAGAAATGTTTAAGGTATAAATTTTGTTGAACCAAGAGATATTTGTATATAATAACTGAATATCAAAGTCAAAAATTAGCAGTGATTATCATTATCTATAGGCCTTTATGAAATTTTGCTAAAAATAGTCCAACATCATAAATTACATTTACTTGCCATATGTCTTTAGTCTCCTTTAATGAACAGTTTCTGTGTTTTTCTTTTTCTTTCATGGCACTGCCATAAAACCATCAGTTTGTCACTGTCAGATGGGTTTATGCACTGGCAGACATGTCACAGAAGTGATACTGAGTACTTACCACTTCATAAGTACTCATATATAAGTACTCGTATAAATACTTCAATCAAACTCATATATAGTTGGTTTGTCCCAGTATGTTACTATTGCTGATTATTCATATTTGAATCACTTATAATACATAGTGGTGACTTATAGATTGTGACATTCTATGTTTATTCATGGTATATTCATTGTTATTCATTTTTGAAGTAAGAAAGGCTTTCCTCTTTGTTACAGCAGCATAGACTCAGAGATTATTTATTCAATAGATTGTAGACTCTTTCTGTAATTTCAGAGATGGGAACACTTATTTTTTATTTATTTATTTATTTATTTTTGCTCTACCACTGAGCTACAGTCCTAGCCCCCTTTTTATATATTTTATTTTTAAAAATTTATTCATTTATTTATTTATTTGTGTGTGTGTGTGTGTGTGTGTGTGTGTGTGTGTGTGTGTGTGTGGAGCTGAGAAGACATCTTTTTGTGGTCAGTCCTCTTTCTACCTTGTTGAGTCAGGGTCTCTTTTCTTCCATTCTCTGTAGTCCAGACTAGCTGGCCTTTAAGCTTCTAGACCCCACTTTCTATCTCATATTAGGAGTGCTGGGATTGCAGATGCATACCACGCATCTGGCTTTTTTATGTGGATTCTAGGGATTCAGATCATAACACTTCCATGATGAGCACTTTGACCTTCTGAGCTGTCTTACTGGCCCAGAAGCACTTTTTGAGCTAGGTCTTCTCATGTAGCCTAGGCTTGCTTGAACACATGTCTCAGCCTCCCAAGTGCTGGGCTTATAGAAGTATGCCACCATACCCACGTTTGTGATCAATTTTTTGTGCTCAAATTGTAAAGCCAGTTGAAATTCCTTCATACTGCCTCTTGTCCTTTTGACATACTCCATCATTTCTTTGCGACCTCCTAAAAACGGATATTCAGAAAATGATAATTAAGTTGTAGACACTAATTTTTTGCTCAGATGGTATTTTAGAAATGACCACAGAAACAAACCATGGTGTCACTGGCAGCATTAATAAGCATTTATTTTTGGTGTCCACTTGTTTCTCTTACAGGGTCTTAATACTTGGCCTCTATTGGTGGAGTTTCTTCCACAGATTGAGTTCATATGTTATTAGAAGTTTTCTCAAATTTACATAGAGAAGCAAAACTCATTCTCAAAGTTTAGTAGTAAACACATTGTTCTGAACTCAGAAAAAGAGTGATAGTGTTCTTTTTTTTTTTTTTTTCTTTAACTACTTTTCTAACTAGAGAATTTAATTGGGCTATTTTCTTTTTTGTTTTTCTTTTAATCTCGTTTCCTTACATTCATTTAAGGGCTGTGGTTAATTGCCCTTTCTACTTAGAATATGCCTCTACTTAGACAATTACCTCTAGAATTCAAAAAATACATAGGACTACATTTCACCCCTTGAATATTTTAACAGACAATGTTAAAACCAAGGCATTTGTCCTTGTTAGATCACCCAGGAAAGTGGCTTTCATAGATCACCTTGAGAGTACTCATTCTCTTTGGTTGACTGAAGTAGATAAGGGGAATCAGAAGAATCTTAGCTGTTGTTCCACTAGAAAAATAGGAATTAAAAGAAAATTTTCTATAAATTTATATGTTTGTTTCATTTTAATAAAATGTTGTTATTGGGTATAAAAACATCAGCAAAAGTAAAAACAGCTATGGGCACTTTACTAAAGCACAAAAGGAAATAATGCTCCATATATGTGCTGTGTAAGTATATATGCGTGTGTATGCACATCCTTTTTTCAGTGCTTAGGAACAAACCTAGAACAGCATGCATGGTAGCATGCATGTGCTCTGCCATGAGCTACATCCCCAGCCCAGGAAAATAAAGGCCTGATTTTATGTTTTTCTTAAATTTTACCAGAAATAGATGTCATCTTGCTGCCAAATACTAAACTTTGTGTCTTCATTAAATCTATAAAATGAAGTCAATAGTACAATTTCTAAGTACTATTTTTATGTATTTCTTTTAAAATAATGCTGCAGATAGAAAATTAAGATGTGTATTCAATGTGAAACAAACAGTAGAGGATAGCCAGGCTTCAGTCCCTAGTCTGCCTTAACTTCCTAACCATGAACAGATCAATTCAAATGGAAGACTATTACTAATTTTATGTTAAACTAAATGAAATAGAAGGGTATAGGTTTTGCTTAACATTTGTTCTCCAAAATTGTTATATTTCCAGGAAATAAGAATAATGACAAGATTTTACTATAGGTATCAAGTCAGGGATTACTGTGTGAGAGTATAATAAATCCAACTTTAGATTTTAGTTGTAATTTTAAGTGAACAATTCCGTTGTAGGGTGATAGAACTTTAGTCTACAATGTGTGTGATATAATCATATATTTTGACTCAGTGTTAATTGGTTCTTTTTACCAAAGGTATATAATGAACAGATTCGTGACCTCTTAGTAAATTCAGGACCACTTGCTGTCCGGGAAGATGCCCAAAAAGGAGTTGTTGTTCAGGGTCTTACTTTACACCAGGTACGTGTACAAATGTCTTTTCTTTCTGTTAGAATGCAAGTCCATCGAGGGCCCATTTCCACCAGCTATTTACTTATTTAACACCCTGTTTGAGAAAGAAGCAAACTAATAAAATGCAAGACTAAAATGAATTACTGAGGAACTAAATAAAGGAAACTAAAGCCCCAAATGATTCGTCCATGGTCACAGAGACACTAGCAAAATAGGGACTAGAGCTGGGATGTCCTCATTTTATTGCCTCTTACTATCTTTAGTCTTCATTTTCTTTTGAAATAGTTGAATTTTTCCTTAAAAATTTGACATTTATTATGTTAATTCAATGCAATTACTTTTATCTCAGACTCATTTATTTCTTATTCCATATATAACACCAAGTACTAAGCATGTAATAATATTAAATTCATAGAAAACCTGTGGGTTTTTTTAACCTTTAAAAGTATTGTTTAAGTTTATTGAGTAAGTGTATTGAGGAACTGGTGTTAGCTCAGTAGTGGACCACTTTCCTGGTATTCATCAGGACTTGGTTTGATTACTGCACCCTACCCCCCCCCAAAAAAATTGTTGAAAAATTTAAAGATAGATGACTAAGTATTCCTTTTCTATTTGAACCTCTCCAGCCCAGATCCTCAGAGGAAATTTTACAGCTACTAGATAATGGAAACAAAAACAGAACCCAGCACCCCACCGACGTGAATGCTACGTCTTCTCGTTCTCATGCTGTTTTCCAGGTAACAGGACATAAGGCCATAGCTCTTAAGTTGAAATTTAAAGTAAGTAAAGCCAAATTCATAAATAATTTTTAGGAATGGCAAAAAACATTCATTTGTAGACACCACTATTTCTCCATCATTCCTTTCCTTTGTAACTTTTGTTTAGCTGTTATTAAGTTTTAAGACAGAATCAAAAAAAAAAAGAATCCCATTAAGTTCACCACATTTAACTTGAAGTCACTTATGTAATCCTGGTCAGCTCTGAACTTTGCTTATTTTGCCTCAGCCTCCTGCATGGCTGGGATTACCTGCCCTATGCCACCTTGCCCAGGAAACCCAAGGCTTTCAGTGTGTACTTACACTGCTTATTATAAGTTTATTATCTCTCTGTGGATCTAGATTTGTAGAATCAATCGAGAAGCTACTGATTTTTTAAAAGATTTCATCATGAAACTGTGTATTTTAATAATGAAATGGAGATCTTCTTTAAAGGTTAAAACCTCATTTAATTTTATATCTTAAAGGGTTTATACTGAGTACAATATTGTATACCTCTATTAATTCAACTGTAAACCTAAAAATTTACAACCAATTTTGAAAGAATGCATCTTAGCTCTGGAAATTGTTATTGAATATGTCAATGCTGTTGTCATGAAATGCTTCTTCTAATTATGTAACTACTAAATAAATAATTAAGGTGTGTGTGGTGTGTGTGTGTGTGTGTGTGTGTGTGTGTGTGTGTGTGTGTGTGTGTATTCTTTAACCTTAAAAAAAAAAAAAAGATTTCATCATGGGGGCTGGAGAGATGGCTTAGTGGTTAAGATCACTGGCTACCCTTGCAGAGGACTCAAGTTCAATTCCTATCACCCATGTGGCTGCTAACAACCATTAGTAACTCCAGTTCCAGGGGCTCTGACACCTTATTCTCTCCTTGGAGGGCCCTGCATGACATGGGTTGACTTACATGCATGCAAGCATAACATTCAAACACATAAAATTTAAAAATTAAAGATTTCATCATGAAGACCATGTTTCTAGTCCTGTTATATCCAAACATTTGGATTATGCTGTGTGAAATTTTTTTTTTCAACTTCACAAAAAAAGTGTGTGTGTGTGTGTGTGTGTGTGTGTGTGTGTGTGTGTGTGTGTTGGTGTGCATGAGCCATGGCTCATATGTAGCTGTCAGAGGACAACTTGCCTGAGTCAATTCTTTCCTTATACCATGTCGGTCTAAGAGATTTAGCTCAGGTCATCAGACTTGTAGGCATGTACGTTTTACCAAACCACTCAGTCTTCTCACTGGCCTGTGAAATTCTTCATATAAAAATGCAATTGTTACAGTTGAAAGCATTCATATGTAAGGCAGTCAAGCCATTTGGATAGTGTCCATTCAGCAGGCTCATGGATATTTGTTGCTGGTACCACTTTATTAATAGTCTTCAGAGAAATGTTTGTGACACTGTGATTTCCCTTGAATGTATTAAATCTTGCTTTATATTTAATAAAAGGATTCTATAATAGTAATAACTTGTCCATTTCATGTATTTTTCAGTTAAACTACAAAACAATGTAAGACAGTTGAATAAGAGGCTACGGAGGTATCTCATTTGGTACAATGCTTACTTGCTATGCATAAGGCCCTAGGTTTGCTCTCTAGCACCAGATAAACCACCAGGCCAGTGGCTGAACCCCTTAATTCTGACATGCCAAAGATAAAGGCAGGAGGTTCAGAAGTTCAAGGTCATCTTTGACTCTAGTAATCTCAAAGCCAGCCAGGGCCAAATGACAACCTGACTGAGGGGAGAAAATATAATTGAATAATTATGCTTTCCTAGACAGTGGAAAATGACAGATATTCATACTTTTGTATTTTTAGTTTGGGTCAGCATTCAAATTTAACTTTAGGGACATTCCATCTCTAATTCTATGTTACGATACAAAGGGAATCAGAATACAAATAACAGTTGCATTGCCTTCTATAGATCAAGGGTTATTTTCCCTCTGGTACACTCATTCAGCTTTCCATTACTATAACAGATATTTGAAATGATAAGCTTATAAATTAAGTTTGTTATCACTCACAGTGTTGGAAGTTTCAGTCTGGGGGTCTCTCTTACTGCTTTTGAGCTTGTGGTAAGGCTGCACATGTTTGAAGGGAGTGGTCTTTATTTCATATCCTGGATGGTAAAATGAATAGGAATAGAGAAGGGCTGGAATCCCATTCTTACCTTTAAAGGGATACCTGCCATGACCCAAAGACCTCCCACTTGGCCCTACCTGCTTTGACTTGTTGTGGAATGTTGGGCCCAACATTCTGGGCTCAAGTGATTCAGCTATCTTAGCTCCATGAGTGGCTGATACTATAAGACCTGTGCCACCAGACCCACCTTGGGCCCCAGTCTTAAAGATTTTCCTTGCCCAGTAGAACAAGTGTGAACAAATAGTTAACACATTGGCCTTTGGGAACTTTAAGATCCAAATATATACGCATTTTGTTTTTGTATTTTCCTCAACTTTAGTAATTCTAGTACTCCTAAGTACCAGGCAGATAATACGTGGAACTTCTTAAGGGGGATGAATCTGTGAGGACTTAAGGGAAAGAAGTGAATATGATCAAAATGCACTGCATGAAATTCTCAAAGAATTAATAATACTATATATTTTTTTATTTTATGTGTATGTGTGTACTGCCTGCATGTATGGAAATGCACCCGTGTCGTGCATTGCCCGCGGAGGTCAGAAGAGGGCGTCAGATCCCCTAGAACTGGAGTTATGGACAGCTGTTAGCTGCCATGTAGGTGCTTGGATCTGAACCCAGGGCTTCTGCAAGAACATTCAGTGTTCTTAACCGCTGAGCCATCTCTTGAGCCCCAATAATAATAATATATTTTAAAAGAATAGTAACTGTTTTGTGGAATTTTTTTTTTAATTTTTTAAAATTCTTTTTAAATGTTCCCTTTAACTTTGTTAATTCTCACTCTCATTTTCTCCTTTTCAATAATTTCAGATTTATTTGCGACAACAGGACAAAACAGCAAGCATTAATCAAAATGTCCGTATTGCCAAAATGTCTCTCATAGACCTGGCAGGTTCTGAGCGGGCCAGTACTACGGGTAGTAAAGGGATACGGTTTGTAGAAGGCACAAATATTAATAGGTCCCTTTTAGCTCTTGGGAATGTCATCAATGCCTTAGCTGATACAAAGGTGAGTACTGTATACTTACTTATTAAATGTTTTGAAATAACAAAATATACTTTCTGTACTAGTATATCAACAGCTTTTAGATAGATAACAGTCCTTAGCAACTCTCAGCTGCCAATCAAAGCTATGTGAGTTTTGTTTTCTTTTGTTTGTTGTTTTCTAAGAGACTGTGTTGTTTGTTTTTCAGTTTCCAGGTTTATATTCCAAATTATTTGAATGAAAAATATTTAATAGTTAGCGTTTTATTAGCTATGCATGGTAGTTCATGTCAATAATTCCTGCACTTAGGGGGTAGAGGCAGGAGAATTGAGATTTGGAAGCTATCCTGGGTACAAGACTGCCTTCTCACCCCAGAGCAAATTATTGTGTCTTCCTATTTATTTCGAACTAGGAATTTTGTTTACTTAGGTTGTATGTGTGAGTGTATGGGTGGTGCATTTTTGTGGTGCTCACATTTGAACCCAGTACCTCACATGTGCTTGGAAAGATATCTACCTCTACCCCTGATTGTTTCTTGAGATAGCATCTCACCGAGTCTTGAACTTTCTATCCTGATGTCTCGTATTCTTGAATATCTGTAATTACAGGCCTATGCCACCAGGACCAAAAATGGCTACATTTTTCAGACCCCTAGCTTTGAAAATTATTGTAAAAGAAACTATTCAATGATCAATGGATAGCCAAAATGGTAACTGAATTGACTAGTTAATTTTTCTTAAAAAAAAAGAGATTTAAGGTTTAAAGTGTAACTACATAAAAGGATGATATTTACAAAATGCTTTTGGCATTTAAAAATATTTTGCCTGTACTGTATACTAGAAGTGCTTACTGTAACACAGTATATTTACAACATATTAATTTGTTTGAAAAAACTTTTAATTAAGAGTCAAGACAGGCTTAAAAGCTTAGAAAAATTACTGTTAAATCGTTAAAATGTTATATATTTTAATTTATATCAAAGTATAATGTGTAATATGCACAAAATTTATATGTTAAAATGTATGTTAAAATTATTAGGAGGACTTTCTTAAGAGGGCAAGTTACTGAAATCACATGACAATTGTAAAATCAACATCTCTTATATTTAGTGTTAAAAATCTCAAAACATTTGAGCAGACCACATGATATAATACTGATTTTGTAAACTTAAGGAATTTGTAGCACAAATGTTTGCCATGTGCCCTAATATTAATTTCTGTTGAGCTTGTGAGTCAGTTTTACTGTCTTGTCCACTTACAATCATTTGAATAACACCCGCAGTATACATTCTATTTAGCAAAGGGTGATACGATTCAAGCATGTTACTACTAGGCAGCAGGTGATCCGGGACCTATTTTTTGCTGTGTTTATCAACTCTGTAACCTGAGCAAGTCTTTCACTGTGGGAAGGTCAGAATACAATTTGCAAAAGTCTGTTTGCTCTTTCTATCATGTGGGTCTGACTGGGGATCAAATTCAGGTTGTCGGATTTGACAACAAGAAGAACCTTTATGCAATGAGCTCACCACCCCATAATAGAAAATATTAAAATTTAGGTTCCTTCACAACTCTGTTTTAATTTCACATTGTGTCTGTAATGTATTATTTAGGTTCATAGAAAAGTTGCTAAGAAAAAACAGATTTCCTTAAATATGTATCTAATTTCAAACACCAGTTACATCATTGTCCCTTACTAATTAAATTTTTCTAGTGGTATAGTAGTGAGTTTTTATTTGTGAGGAAAATGGCATAAGAATTCTTTTGTTCTTTCAGAGAAAGAATCAGCATGTGCCTTATAGAAATAGTAAGCTTACTCGCTTGTTGAAGGACTCTCTTGGAGGAAACTGTCAGACAATAATGATAGCTGCTGTCAGTCCTTCCTCTTTATTCTACGATGACACGTATAATACTCTGAAGTATGCTAATCGTGCAAAAGACATTAAATCTTCTGTAAGTGCATTTACTCTAACTTTGTTGTGAGAATGTTGGGCCTGTATTATTTTTTCAAGTCTGTTTAAAGTATAATTAGGGTATTATTTCTGTTAAGAAATTTGAGAATTACAAATGTTCTACATAATTATTGATCTTTATCTTGGTCATACTTTTAAGCATCTTGAGCATGTATATAATGGAAACTGTTATTCAGTTATGAGTGCTAGGGCACTTTATTTAGTACTGTCCCCCCAACCTCCCCCCACATCATATCACATGGTATTTGTATAACATACTGTTATTCAGTTATGAGTGCTAGGGCACTTTATTTAGTACTATCCCCCCAATTTCCCCCCACATCATATCACATGGTATTTAGATAACACACTGAAGTAATCCAAGTGTTTAACATGTTTACTGCCAATTATGATGGTGTCATTTATCTGAGCACCAACTAATACCTACCCCAATTCATAATATATTCTTTCCAAATTAATTTCCACAGCTATGATATTGGTATGCCAAATATACAAGTATAATAGTGACTCATTACGTAAATGTTTTTTGCCAAAATTTCAGGATACTTTTTAAAAGTATATAGGTGAAAACATGTCTCTTCAAAAAGCACAGGATATCAGGTTAGAAGAGACTTCAGCTAAACTGATGTAATATCTCCTGTTATCCTGTGAGAAATGTCCATATACTATTTACAACAGGTCAGACTTTATGAATGTACAAAGACTTTTCACACATATTTTTTATATAGTCCTCACTCTAGCCCATTGCAGAAGTTGTTTGTTGTTTGTGTTTTGCTCCATTTTATGGTAATATAGGCCAAACTCAGAGAATTTTTTTTATATTTTTTATTGAGCTTTTGTAATTTCATACAACAGTTCTTAATTTTAGACCCCCCTCCCCCAGTCATGTCTCCCCCATTTCTCCACCGGACCTCACGTACTCTGCCATACATATTAAGTCCTATTCATTCAGGCATTTGTACCCAAATGTCCTTCAGTGTAAATTTGTCCACTGGAGTCTAGTCAGCCCATCTTGTGTTTGTAATGTTAATCATACTCTTCCCTCACCCAGCAGCAATTAGTCTCCATCCACTAGTTCCCAATCTAGTGCCGGCCTGCCACCTGTTTCTCTCCTCCCCTTTGGGACCTTGTTTAATTGAATTGACATGGGTCCTGTACTTGATGCCACCATTGCCACAAGTTCACATGTGCAGGCTTCCAGTGGCCTGGAAGCCTCTGCGTCCCTGTGTTCATGAACCAGCCCTAACTCTTACAGTCTTTCTGCTTGCTCTTCCTCAGTGATCCCTGAGCCGTGGGTCGATGAGGCTCTTTATAGGAGTCCCATCCTACACCCTGCAGGCACTTATTCTTTAAAACTTGGCCAGTTGTGGCCTTCTCTGTGCATCACTCTATTGTATAAACTCAGAGAATTTTAAGTACTTAATTCTAAGTCACTTAAATAAGAAATGATCAGAGTATTGAAGTCATACTTTCATGTTTAATTTTCTCCCCTCCTTTCCATAAACACTAAAGGGGGTCATACTGTTGCTTTAAAAAAAAAAAAAGTGTGAAATATAAGAAAGTAGTATGAACTCCAGGGTGCAATAAAAAATTCTGAATTCTTAAAAGTAAGAAAAAGGAAACTAGGTGACAATTTTTATTAGGTTGTGAATAAATGCTTTAAAGTTTTTTTTCCTCAGGGAATTTGTTTATTATTTTGTATATATTATTGATATGCTCAACATATCCTCATGTCAAAGATTTTAAATATGGGCATAATTAATCATAATAGCCATATAGTTATAATTGTCAAAAAGTCAGACTTGTTGGACCTGAATTAATGAGATATAATGCTTCTTTTTCCTGTATATAAGTATGTGATTATGCTCCTGGTGCACATAATCGTTATTCTATTTTTCAACAGTTGAAGAGCAATGTCCTCAATCTCAACAGTCACATATCTCAGTATGTAAAGATCTGTAATGAGCAGAAGGCAGAGGTATGTCTACTATTTACGCTGTTATAAAAATTTCCTATAGTTCTTGACTCACAGGACATTTTATTCCTAAGTGTCCCCAAATTTAATATATTTCCTATTTTGATACAAATCTGACTTGCTTGATTATTGTTTATAACTAAACTTTTGCTATTCCCATGTAAGATGGAGACAAATAACTTGCTTTGTATTTTAATTAGTCTTTTCTTTCTGCTAGATTTTAATGTTGAAAGAAAAACTAAAAGCCTATGAAGAACAGAAAGCCTTCACTGATAAAGATGACAGTGCAAAATTAATGCTCTCAAACACCCAAGACAAAGAAATTGAAAGGTAAAATCATTCAAATCTCATATGAGGAATGTATTATTTTGTAATTTCGGCAGATATTTTACTAATTCTCATTTTGTATATGTCATATGTATATATGCATACACATTTAATTGAATTCAGAAAAGTCATTGATCTTTGTATTATACACTTGGGAAAATCAGCTCCTTTTAGTTTTGATTTTACAGATAGTAAGGAAAATCAGAGGATGTCACTTACATCACTTAAGATGTTAGTTTATTTTCAGTGGTGCCTTTTTTTGCCAATATTTATATACTTTATATAAAAATTTAATCTCTTTATTGATTCTATATAGATCTACTAATTTACTTATTTAATTTAAAATGATTATTTGATTGAATGCCTCCGTGATATAAATTGATAGAGTGGTCTTTGTTTTTCCCAATTGAGTTGCTGTGTTTCTTGAACTACTCAAGATTAGTATTTCTAGATCCAGTGTTCCAATGGCTTAACTTGTAAACTTATCCTAATTGAAGGAAATGCTTCTTTTGAATATTATATTATTAACTGCTGTCATTTTATCTTTCTCCTAAACTTCCCATTGTGGCTTTGTGGGTTTTAATTTTTAGACACTTATTAATTTCACCTGGTCACTACAGTGAACCTTATAAGTATGTTAAGAAAGACTTTTTTCCTCAATTATAGATCTAAGTAAAAACTATCAGAATTCAATTTTTTTTCATTGTTTTGTGTGTGTGTCTGTGTGTCTGTGTCTGTATATGAAAGTCAGAGGACAGTTCAGCGATGCAGCTCAGGTCATTAGGCTTTTCCAGCAAGCCATTTTGACATCCCAGAACTGTCCAGTTTTATTCTGTGTTTCTACATTATACTATTTTGTAAACATCATTTCTGACAGCACAATATATAAGTAAACAATTTCTCACTACTCATTTATTCTCATCAAAGAAAACTTTCTATGCTTTGGCCATACTTTTGTGTTCGTGGTCCGCTGTTAGATGAGGAAGCTTCCTTGATGGGAGTTGAGAGATGCATTAGTACTCTTTATACCCATTGTACCATGGGGCCTTCGGTGTAGAGGTTCTATTGTAGATGTGTCACTTAGGGTTGGGCAGTTCACAGACACAAATGGCCAAAGCATCAAGAATAAAACTCTTAAGTGTGGGAGTGCTTGTACAGGGCTCCTCTATTAAACTTTACCCACTCAGGACTCAGGGACCTTTGTGGAAGAGGGAAAGGAAAGATTTTAATAACCAGGGGAGGAGGTACATGCCATATAGAAGTAACCTTACAGACTCCTGGAACCTTGCTCATGAACCTACAGCAGTGTTGTCAGCATGCACAAGACCCATGCAAACTCAAGCAGAAAAAAAACGGGCATAAATGTGGAAATGGGCAGCAGGCCCCAGCATTAGCAGAAAAAACTGTTGGCAATTGATTATTGCTGGGTGAGGAAGAGTTGATCTTAATGGGAGACTATAGATAGGCTAAGTAGACCTCAGTGGATGAGCTTGCACAGGGGGACGTCTGGGGACCACTAACTTGAGTAGATAGACCTTAACATAAATGACGGAATGCATGAAATCCAATGGGGGAGGCATTATTGGAGAGTGCTAATTGGGAAAGGGGATATAAAGATGATTAAGCTCTTACGTATGAAGTACACAAAAATTCAATTAAAAGTTTACAAAGAAAATAAGCACTTGATTTATATACTTTAAAAAAAGACTTTCACTCTGACAGAATTATAATAGTTCATTTTGTTAGTTGAACATGAAATGGCAAGTGTCTTGAATATTGAATCACCAGCATCCCAAAGAGCGATTTCTTAGGTAAATTTCTCAGCAGTACTTTAACAAAGTCTACTTTGCCAATTAAATTGTGGCCCAGGTCTGTAATCCGTGCAGCTTGGGAGGCTGAGACAGGAGGATTGCAATTTCAAGTCAGGGGAAGATTGTGCCTCTAAATTAAAAGTAGGAAAATAGTTCTGGTCATACATGAAGTTGATGGCTTTAAATCATTCAACCTTTTTAGAATTGATTCTTAGTGGGACTGGAGAAATGACTCAGGGATTAAGAGCTCTGACTGTTCTTGCCAGAAGACTTGGGTTCAAATTCCAGCACCCACATGGCAGCTAACAGCCATCTATAACTCCAGTTCAGTGGGATCCGACACCATCTTCTCTCCTCTGGGCATTGCATGACACAAGTTCACTATAATGGAGGCATTATACTCATGCATATAATATATATACATATATATATATATATATGTATATATATATAATAAAATCTTAAGTGATTTTTATTATTTTTTTAATTATATGTGTGGGTGTGTACACATGAGTGCTAGAGGCTTCAGGTCCTCCTGAGCTGGAGCTCTAGGCCATTGTGAGCCACCCACTTGTGTGTGGGATCTGAACTCAGGTCCTGTACCACAGCAGTATATGGTCTTACTGCCATGCCATCTCTCTAGCCCTTCAGCCTTCCCTTTTAATAAAATTACTTAGAAGGGAGATGACTTGAGCATAAATTAGTGTTTATTTGTATATGAACTCGTGTCTCCCTTAACTTTTGTCATTCGTCCACCAAAGTAACTGTCTCATGAAATACATGAAGCACCTTTTAATATCAAGCACATTGTTAACTTGCAACTTTATAATGCTATGAATTAATAAATTTCATTTTCCATAAAATTTAAAACAATGTTTTCATGAATATTCAGAAAATATACATCATTTTCCTAATTCCCCAAAGTATTTAAAAAGTCAGTGTACATAAGGGACTCAGAAAAAAGAAAATACAACTGTATTCATAAGCCACAGATGTAAAATTTTGCTATGACTTTATAAGTGGCATGGCTTAATCCATTGTGTTTCATCTAAAATATTAGTGCAGAATTTTGTTACCTAGTAAATTTAAATGTTCTAAATGACTAGCAAATAGTAAAAGACTCTCTCTAGAAGTTCTTGATGCTAATTCCTTTTCTTCCATCATAATCAGTAAACACTGCACAAAATGAACCACAAAATTACAAAATTGATAAGTATTTAACTTTGTCCTTGAATTAAAAGTTACAGGAAAACTAAGAAATTATCTTTGGGTATAACCTAAAGATAACTTATCAATTCATTTACTGGCACTAGCATTGGTGTAATATAATACAGTGAAATCACAGTGTCCATATACATTTCCTATGAAATATTCATCAGTTTAACAAAACTGCAGTAAAGTCAATGTATTGTGGCTTATATTCATTCCCAGGAGAGTTTCATTAAGAACTACTGACGTAAATTGGCACCATCTTTACCACAGATCCTTACAAATGTATCTGAATTTCTGGCCAAAGAACATTTATTTTTAAATGCACAGACTTGATTTTATTTTAAAAGCTTCACAGTTAATTTTTCTTAGATATTTTGCCTGGATGTGATTGTTTATTCTTACTATAATTCAGAGCACAAATAGATTTTTATAATTCTAATACTATTGTGATGCTGACCCTTAATAGTTTTCATAGAAGTTAATCAGTATCGAATCTTTGGCTATTTGGAGATCTAACCAAAATTTACATATGAAATTTAAAAGCTCAATTTAAAAAAAAACTTTACATCTGCGATTCTTTCAGTCCATATTACCCTTGGAGGAAGCAGACCTCAGTGGCTTTTCTAGGTTTATCACATTGTTACCTTGTGTACTTTGAGTCCTGCCAGTGTCAATTGATTCTTCCCCTAGCTGTAGGGGTACCTTATTATATGGTATGCTTTCACTGTAATAATTTTCAGAAGCTAAAAGCTGATTCTCTCACTTTCCCTAGGGGGCCAGGGATACACCATATGATAATACCTCCTACTGTGTTTTCTTGATTTCAAGTCAGCACCAAACCACACATGATGTTAATGGGCTATAAGAATTGTCATAATACAGATCCAAGTTATCATCCTTTTACAAACAAAATATTTTTGTTAAGCAACTGGACTACATATATGTACATGATTAAATGTGGTATATTACCATTTTCAGAGGCCTTGGGAGACCTGTATCTTTCAGTAACAAGAGAGAAAGATACCTAAAGTAGCAGAAATAAAGTTAATACCCCATTCTCATTTTTGTGATAGGATGAAGCCATTCTAACCTACTTGCTGTTTGTCATTGAATAGAGTCTGAGGTATTTGCTGTTAAGTATTCTATATATTATTTAATATAAAATTAATGGAATTTTATTATATGGGTTCTTTCTTTTGGTAGATTTCAAGAAATTCTGAACTGCTTGTTCCAGAATCGAGAAGAAATCAGGCAAGAGTATCTGAAGTTGGAAATGCTACTTAAAGAAAATGAGCTAAAGTCATTCTATCAACAACAGTGCCATAGGCAAATAGAATTGATATGTTCTGAAGACAAAGTAGAAAAGGTGCTTAACTATTTTAATTTTTAGAGAACTTAAAACATGGAAATTTCTAATTCTAGAAATTTGAGGCAGTTTCTTAATCACTATTCTTTGAAAAACTTCTAAATACTGAGGAAAATGTGGCAGACATAAAGGGAACCTAAAAACGCAAAATCTTATGTGCCCTTGTTCCTTTTGTGAAGGTCTGTGAAATTTCCCACAAGAAGTTAGAACATTAAAAGAGTTTGTTACAGTAATGAGGCAGGAGAAAAACCTATCCAGATGCTGGCCACAGTTTACAACATAGGCCAAGAGAAGGTTGTTGTTTTTAAAAAGAACATTTATTACTGATATTGCTAGATATGACTGTATGGTTCTGGTAAAAATCAAACCAACTTCTAGTATGTTTTATTAGTATTGTTTATAAATATAATACTACACTACTCCTCTCCAAATACATAGACCACTCTGACTACCATGCCTTTGATATAAATCACTGCGTAGTGACATAGTAACTTAAAAATGAAAGCCTTTAAATAAAGCTTGAAACTCCAGAGCTGTACACCCTTCATACTGTGGGGAAAAGATTTATACTAGGGGGAAGAAAACTTGTCAGTACAAAAAGGAATAACAAAAATGTCTCATTTGAAAACTCATTATAGATACGCATTTTATTTTCCTTAAAGTGAAAGAGTGAAATGTATAGATACCTAGCATTTGTCTCTGACTTAATGATGACCACATTTGCTTAAACTTAATACTTGTAAGATAATACATACTCTCCACCAAGATGAAGAGACTCCTATTTCCTTATACTATGTGTGTGTGTGTTATGTGCCTGTACGTGTTAGTAATTCATGTTTTAAATTAGTAGAAATAATAATTTATTACCCAAGGAGGGCAGAATCTTTGACCAAGTACACATAGTTTTGTTCTTTATTGTTGATTTCTTTCTATTCTCTGCTGCAGAGCCAGCTACAAGTGTTTATTTTACTCTGTGAAGATTTGCCATTTCAGATACACCATCGTATAGAATAATTTTTTAATTCAAGTCAGTGTCTTTTGGCAAGTAGCCCAGAGAGATCAAGCTGTTCTCACCTACAGCTTCCATGATACATTGTCATTTGTAGCAACCAATTTAAGGCGTTACAGGTAAAACCAGAACAGTAGAACTCCTAATTCTTCACATCTTTCAAATTGGAGAAAAGACAAAGCAGAGGATGCATTTTTTTGATTTTCAGTAAGAGAATCATGGAATTTATCTAACCTTATATGAACTTTACAAATGCAGCTTTAAAAAAGAAAGTTACAGACTTCGTTTTGGCCACTGTATTTCTTAAAGCCTTAAACCCTCAAGTTATAATTTTATAAAAATGACTCACAGCTCAATTTCCTATTTTGCTGCAAGCGGTATTGTTATGATATTTTAAGGGGAAAAGAGCTTTAAATATAAGTATAGTTTAATGTAATAGACTGCAGTAACATAAGAAAATATACCACGTTGTGAATGTTGTATACATCAAATATCCTAAAAATTAAGTAAACCATTAAATACATTTTGTTTTAGGCCACTTGCAAACGAGATCACAGACTTGAAATATTGAAAACTCGTCACTGCTACCTAGAGAAAAAGAAGGAAGAGGAGTTGAAGCAATTTGATGAGAACACTAATTGGCTCCATCAAGTGGAGAGTGAAATGGAGCTCTTAGGCCAAAATGGTCATATTCCAAAGGTACAGATGTGTTTGTATTTTAAAAGCTGAGCTCCTTAAATTTCTTATTTTTCTTCTTATCTTTCAAATGAAAACTATTTTCCCGTTTCTCTGAAATTTAATTAGTTCCTCTTACTGTATTTAATGAATATACCTTCAGCTTGCTAATTACTAATAGCTTTGTGGCCTCTACTTCTATTGAGTCAACTTACTTTTAAATGTTGTTCATTCTTGAACAACTACATTCTTTTTATAATAGGTCTTGAGTTAGAATAAAGTAATTCTGTTTCAGACTCATTGAGGCTTTGCCATGTAAACTGTTCTGCTCATGACGTCTTTTCACCCAAGAAGTTTTTACATGACCTTGGGTATATAAGTATATAATATTAACATAATAATATGGATATATATAAGTATGCAGATCAAGCCTTTACTGCTTATAAATCATAAAGGAATTTATTCAACTTTTTTGATATTATGTGTATGAGTGTATTTCCTGCATGTATGTAAGTGCGCCCATGTCATGCAGTGCCCGAGGAGGACAAAAAAGAGTGTAAGACGCCCCTGGAACTGGAGTTACAGATGGTTGTTAGCCACTGTGTGGGTGCTGAGAACTGAACCCAGGTCCTCCACAAGATCAGCCAGTGCTCTTAACTGCTAAGCCATCTCTCCTGCCTTAGGAATCTAAAACAGTGCTTTGGTATATATAATTTTACCATTTATTATGGACTAAAACAAATTTACATATTATTGAGATGAATTGACTCATTAATTTTTGCATATGTATCTAAATAATGACTGAAGAGTTGATACTATAAGATATATAGGACATCTTCAACATTTTTCAGAGTTTATCAATACCTTGTTTTTATAGTAGTTAATGCTACCTTTGTATTAATACATAGCATAAAATGACAGATGTATATTTAGAGGCATTTCAGAAATTTTTAGAATTTTTTTAGTAATCCCAGGCCAAAAGTCATTTAATGATGTTTTATGAAACTCAAGTCAGCAAGTCAAATGACAGTTTATAAACTCAAACTTTATAGCAAAGTATAATCTAATTTGATTGTAGATGCTTAGGAATGACAGTAGGAAAGTCTTCGTTTTCCATCATGAAGCCATTAAGCTTCTGTAAGAATAGAAGTCATTGTGAGTACGGTAAAAATGCTGTGATTCTTAACATACAGCCATCTGGAATCGGAGCCAGGGGTTCCAGCAGCATTCATTGGCATTACCCAGTGCATAGTGCTTCTGTTGCATATTTCAGGACCAATTTTTTTCACTGCAGTTGTGTGATTCAGTGTGAGCATGTATATGTTGCCAGAAACACATCTCATTTCTCTTTGCACATTGGATTTTTAACTAATTTGTGGTCATTGTGTGTTCAAAAACCTTTCACTATTGCTAGATTTCTCACAATTGCACAACTCAATATGAGGTTGCACCCACTTGATAAGCTGTGAAGTAATTTAAGTTTGCAACTTGATTCATTCATTTAAAAATTAGCATATGTGCTTGTAGTTTTCACATGATAATATATTACTTGAATTTCTCAAGAGCATGACTAAATTTACATAGTTATATTACAAATTTATTTATTTATTTATTTTTATTTTTTGATCTCTTTGAGACAGGGTCTCCCTGTAGCCCCAGCTGTCCTGGAACTCACTATGTAGACCAGGCTGGCCTTGAACTCACAGAGATCTGCCTGCCTCTGCTGGGATTAAAGGCGTGCACCACCACGCCTGGCTACAATTTAATATTTTTATTCATGGAATCTACATTCTAATTTATAGCTCAATCCCCACTACAGAAATATTTCAGAACTTGTTTAATATTAAAGAAAAACAAAAATCTAGCGCTAGAGAGATGAGTCAGCAGTTAAGAGCATTGGCTGCTCTTGCAGAAGACCCAGGTTCAGTTCCCAGCACCCACATGGCTAGCAACAAACTCTGGTTCCAGGAGAACCAACGCCCTCTTCTGGCCTCCATAGACACTGCACTCACATATATGCAATAAGTAAATAATTTTTTTAATTAAAAAAATAATTTTAAGGAGTAGAATTGTCACCTGTAGTTTACTATATGATTTTTCTTCTTTTTGTTGGACTTTTTGCAGGAACATGCATGTTGATCAGGCTGGCCACTGTCTTGCAGAGATCCCCACTGCCTCTGCCTCAGCCTCTGCCTCCTGAGCCAGTAATTTATTTTCAAAGTACTTTTTGTGTATTTTAAGTAACATGAAAAACAAAACAAAACCACCTATATCCTCCACTCAGATCCCACTGTCAACTCTATTTTCTCTAGATGTTTTCACAGCTCAAATAATTGTCTAGTCATAAATACTAATTTCATATCATAAACAAACTGAAACCTAACTTTACAAAAGGTGATACCCAAGGTCCTGCAACTCTGGATGAAAACCTTATACTTCTTTCTGACTTTAAAAAATAGTACTGTTTTCTATATATCCTCCTTCATTATTGACTTAAATCACCTTTCTGTATCCATCTGTGCTACAATCCTAATGCAGACCCCCACCTCCAATATTACATGTACTACAACATCGGCCTTTCTGTGCTTATGTTCATGTTCCATTGTAAGGCATTCTCTCCATTACAACCAAAGAAAAGATTTAAGAGGCAAGTCTGACAGTCTCGCTGTCATTGTTCATTGCCCTCTCCCTGCCATAAACTCTCCACTGTGACTGATCAGACAACATAATATGGCACCTCGTATTTCTCAAGCTGTACATCACCTCTCTTTATACTCTATACTTCAGCCATTACTAACTGACTTATACTTGTCAGAACAACTGGTCTTCCCATCAGATTTGGTCATTAGTGTGTTGAAACAACAAGGGACTAAAATTGCAATCTTAGTTTTCCAAAAATGGCTAACTACACCTTATTTGATTTTTCTAACTGGAGAACTGTAAAGAGATCATCTGAGATGAATCAGTTCAGCTCTTACACTTTAGTCAAGTAAACTGATCTCCACAAAGGGCATGTATTTGGCTTAAGTTGACATTTGTTCCAAGAGTGAGCATATCCCCAAAAATCAAATGACTCATAGGTCAGTCCTCTAGACATATCCTGGTTCCATAAAAAATGCTCTAATCTGAAATACATGGTATAGTTCTTGATGTATAAAAGTGAATTATGTAAATGAACTCCCTTTATAATATATCTCAAATAAAATAACATTTCTTTATCAAAGACCATACCACTTGCATAGGGAGTATTTGTTTCACAGACCTAATAAAGAGTCTAAATTCCTTTGTCATCAATAAAAAAAATAACATTTTATTTCTCCTGTTTTAGGCTTGATTATAATAAATTGTTAATCATAAAAACACAAAAACACAGTTGATCTTTAGAGAATCCATAGTCAGCTATGGGTTAGAAAGAAAAGTGAGAAAGTCAAAATAGATATCAGAATTTCTCCTAGGAGGAAATTTCCAGGCATGCCTGTCCTGCTTATTGGATTATTGGCTCAGTTTATCAGAATTTCCCCCTAAAACGCACTTTTTCATTGAATTGACTGAAATTTTTCCTATTAAAGCTGCTGAGAATACTTTTGTCATTTATACATCCTTAACCACTGAGCAGATAGTTTTTGTGTAGTTTTGTTTCAGGAAAGTTGGGTATATTTTAGATTCCAGATTAGAAAACATCTGACCCTAGACAGATGAGTGTCAAGAAAATGGGAACATACTAAAGACTTTTTCATTCTTTTTCTAAGATGATGCTTATAATAAAAGTATATGGTAGAAAAATGTGTAGCACGTAACTCTAAATACTGTACACTGGACTGTATGTTAGTAATGTGATCACAGTCCGTTACATTCTAGTAGAAAAGGAACTACACATTGAACAAAGAAAGTCTTATTGGTCAGTTCTCTAACTGTTGTAGGATAGAGGTTATCCATCTTCAATCTAGCCCTGAAGAAAAGCCTCCTTTGGGTGGTGATATTTAAATCCAAACCTCTCATATTAAGTGTATTTTCTCAATGTTATGAACTAATTGCATCAACATAGAAGCTATTGTTATAGTAAAATTTCTTCTGAATGCCTAACATCCAGTTTCTGAAGAAATTCTTACCTTGCCAGTAAATTCTAGACTATTGTTCTAGAATTCTTTTTAATTTTTTTTTTTTTTTATTTTATGTGTATGAGTGTTTTGTCTGTATGTATGTAAGTGCACCTGTGCATGGAGTGCCTGTGGAGACCAAAAGAGGACATCTGATCAGCTGGAACTGGAGCTACAGACAATTGTTATCTGCCATGTGGATGCTGAGAACTGAATCCCAGTCCTCTGCAAAAATAGCCAGTGCTCATAACCACTGAGCCATCTCTCCAGCCCCCTGTTCTAGAATTCTTATTGTCCAAATTGTTTCCAAAAATATTATACATAATAGCATCAGTATAAAATAGTTATATTACAATTGGTCTAATTCCTAAAACAACCTAAACACATTTTGCACTGTTTTCCTAGGAACTCAATAAAGATCTTCATTGTCACCATTTACACCTCCAGAACAGGGATCTGAAAGCACAGATTAGACATATGATGGATCTAGCTTGTCTTCAAGAGCAACAACACAGGCAGACTGAGGCGTAAGTACATGGATTAAGCATTCTTCATATTTTAATGCTATAGACCTAAAGTATCCAAAATATAGAAAGTTCAGTTATAACTGCCAGCATCAGAAAACAAGCAGTAAGAAAACATTGAAAGACTATAAAAGATACAGACAACACCTTATAGTTTTTCAAAATGTTTTCTTTAAGATTTGGGGTTTTTGTATTTAATATATGCAATATAATAGAAATTCACATCAGTTGAAGTAGATGAATTTTAGTTTTTTATAATTCCAGAATAGGTTTTCTATTTTGCTACTATTAGTTTTGAATGAACATCAAGTGCTTTATTTTTTAAGCTTTTAATTAAATATTTTCTTTGACAATTTCATACATGTACATAAGGCATCCTGACCAGTCTCACCCCCAGTCCAATCTCTCCCATCTCGCTAATCTCCCTGTCCTTTCTTCCTCTTTTTCACTTTCATGTCTACTTGTGTCTCACTGAATTGAACCAGGCCCATCAGTCTGACCATCAGTTGGGAGTTGTCCATTGAAACCTGATGGTCTCAGCAGTGGGTATCCAACTGAAGATAATGGTGACGCCTCTCAGATTTTCTCAGTAGCCAGTGGTTCAGCAGTAAGAAGTAGAGCCATGAGCCTTCCCCTCCTCAATTGGCTATTGACAGGGCCAATCTTGTGTGGGACCAGTGTTGGTAACTGCAGTTCTTCTGAGTTCATGATCACCGTGGTGGAATTGTGTCTAGAAGATAGCATTTTGGAGTCCTTCCACTCTCCTTGAGCTCTTTCATAACTTGTTCCTCCCCTTCTTCTCTATTGTTACCTGAGCCTTCCAGGATGTTGTGTAAACGCCTTGATTTGGTCAGAACTCTCAGACATCACTTTTTCCCATCCTTTTGGGAAGCCATGAGTCTCTGAATTCACATCTTGCTGCAAAGCAGTTTCTAATGAAAGCTGAGAGGAGTCTTTGTCTGTAGTTAGAAACTTAGAAATTTAGAAGATTTTTTGAAGCTGTGTCTGTTTATACAGCATGAGTAAGTTTCCCACTTGGGCCTGTTACTTTCCCAGTGATTGTTAACCAGGCTTCCAGTACTAGTTCTCTCCCATGGAGTGGGCCTCACATCTAATCAGAGGATGATTGGTTACCCCCACACTTACACATCTTACATAGAGCCCTGCAAACTGGTTTTGTTTGTTTGCTTCTTTGTTTTGTTTTGGTTTGTAGGATTCACAGCTGGGTGAAACCACTTGCATTCCACTAAATTAGAAAATGTAAAAGAAATAGATGAAGTTCTAGATACATATGACCTACCAAAATGAAACCAAATTGAAATAAGTAACTTAAATAGATCTATAACCAGCATCAAGAGTGAAGCAGTAATAAAAAGTCTCCAAAATAAAAATAAAATAAAATAAGATAAAAATTCCCCAACCACATGGATTCTCTGCAGAATTCTATCACACCTTCAAGGAATGAACTAATACTATTCAAATTGGTCCATAAAATAGAAAAGGAAAGAATGCTTGCAAACTCTTATAAAGTCAGTATTAACTTGATACCAAACCAGATAAAGACAAAACAAAAAAGGAAAATTACAGACTGATTTCCATGGTGAACACAGTTGTAAAGATTTTTGATAGAATACTGTCAAACAAAATTCAAAATCATCTCAGAGGAATCATTCATCATAATCAAGTAAGCTTTGTTCCAGAGATGCAGATAAATCTATAGATGTAATACATCATATAAATGGACTCAGAAATCACATGTTTATCTCCTTTGATGTACAAAAGATCTTTGGCAAAGTCCGACATCCTTTCGTGATGAAAAGTCATGGAAAGGCTAGGTATGGACAGCACATAGTTCAACATAAAGAAATGCTATATAACAAACCTATAACCGACATCCTTCTAAATTGAGAAAAACTCAGAGCATTTCCAGTAATATCAGAAACACAAGGATGACCACTCTCACCACTCTATTCAGTATGGTGCTTGAAGTCTGAGCTAGAGCAGTAAGGCAGCAGAAGGAAATAAAAGGGATACAAATAAGAAAAGAAGTCAGAATATCTAATTACAGATGATAAGGTTTTATACATGGGAAATAAGACTTTGCTAGAAAATCTCCTAGCTGATAAACGCATTTCGCAAAGTAACAGAATACAAAACTAACACACAGAAATCAGTAGTCTTCCTATAATACCAGCAACAAACATGGAAAAAAAAGAGATCCGGAAATCCCATTTTAAATAGCAATCAACCAATAAAGGAGTGAGTGAATGAGTAAATAAGTGAATAAAATTTTTAGGAGTAAAACTAACCAGTAAAACAAAAGCCCTTTCCAATAAAACTGTAAGACAACGAAGAAAGAAATTGCCCTGAAAATGGAAAGACCGCCGGTGTCCATGGATCAGGATCTGGTGACACTAGACATCCTACCAAAAGCAGACTACAGATTCAGTGTGGTCCCAGTCACAACTCCAGGGCCGTTCTCCACAGGTGAAGGATTTCCATTTTTATGCAATGCTCTTTTATGTCCTCTACAGCTCACTTACAACATTTTAGTTAATTTTTGAAAAGGTCAAGCCAAAAGAAATAAAAATAACTCTATGGACTTACTTTTGTTTTAATGGTCTACTTCTAAGCATTTTTGTAGTTTTTTTTTTTTTTAACTTTAAAAAAAACTTTATTGAGAATTTCATACATTCATCTAAGGTGTTTTGATCAAATCCATGCCCACTCCTTCCCCTCCAACACCTCCCATGTCTCCCGATCACTTTTTTCTGACAACCTTGTGTACTCTTCTTTTCTTTTCTTTTGAAATGGTGCTTTTTGCTACTTTAACATTCCCCCCTCTAAAGAGGTGACCCTAAATTCTTTTAGGGATTAAATAATAGCTCCCAAATTCTTTTGACATTTTTTGGCCTTTGGAAAGAGTATGTTGGGTAAGAGGCCCAAGGACATTTTGACTTTCAGCCAAGAAACTGGCTACTTTTCTTTGGGGTCTTTTTACCCTAACTGCCTAGCCAATTCCTACCTCCTATTCTTACCACACCATCCTCTGAAGAGGTTACCCAAATTGCCGATAAGGAATCGGGATGCAGACAGCTCTAGATTCTTCCATGCTGAACAGGGAGGGATGCAGGGTGAGGCAATTGGAGTACCCCTTCAGTGGGTCTATCTAAAAGACTCCCAAATTGTATAACTCTTATCCCAATTGTGTAACCAGTCCTTGACTGGTGAATAGGGGATATGAAGGAGAAATAAAGGCAAGAGTAGTTAGCATTACAAGTTCTAGACAGAGAACCAGAAAAAAGTCAGAACGGCAAATTTCAAATGTTTATGAGAATCCATTGGGATTTCTTGACGAGCGCTTCCAAAAGCATCCGCCTATTGGGTTCCTCCTCATTTTTCTTTTGTCTGCCAAGGCTGGACTTGAGAGTGATGGACTCTGGATTTGTTTTCAGGCACTTTGGTAGCTGTTGGAGTGGCTAGAATCAGTGTCAGTTCCCTCTCAAAGGCTTCTAGATGGGGTGAGAAAACAAATTTAGCTATTATTTTATAACAGTAGTGGGTTATCTCCCTCAGTTACAGGTGGGCACTACAGTATTGCAGAGCAAGATTTGAAGTCTTACATCTGAGCAGCACTTTTTTGCTTAGAAACAAAATCATCAATGAGAAATAATTGTCTAAATAACATTTTATAGGGACTTAAGTCTAGTATCTGGGAAGTATAATCCCTTGACCTCTTCAAGAAATATACTGATCACTTTAATCTTTGGTTATACTTTCCTTTTGAGTGTTTAAGACCAGACAGTTGGCCCAAATAAACTATTTTTACTCTTCAGGTCATTTGAGGATCTGTTCCTCAGGGGTCACATGGGCTTGGGAGGAGCCCCAGGCTCCTTTCTTTTACCAGTTCCATCTATATGAAGATAAGTCAAAGGTCCTGCTCAACCATGTCTGTCTTCACTTGGAAGCAAGTAGGAAATGTTTCCTCTGTGTTGACCCTCCTCTTTATAGACACTGGTTCAGGTCCATCTGGTGGGGTCTCCATGGCCTCCCTGAACAGGAGGACAGGTGACTCACCACAGTTACAGGACATTTTGAGAGATGCACCATAGTCCCCTGGAACTTAGTCGACCTTGGAGGGCAAGGAACAAAAACTGTCCTTTAAGTCCTTCTGATCAGATTAGTGTAGCCCTCAAAATAGGGCTGTTAAACATCCAAGGTTAGTTTCACCAGTCTGGTACTTTTAATTACTATGTGGTATGTAGATAAAGCTTGGGGGAAAAAAAACAAACATTCTCAGATAAACCTTCACTAGACATATGTTTTATTCCTTAAACTAGTTGACTAAACTCTGACCTTAGAAATTTTAAGATTATGTGTATATTATTTTTGTCTCATACTTTATATATCATAGCAAACCTACACAGACCTTCATCACTTGCTTAGGCTTTCTCATTTTTTCTATTTTGGAAACTATATCCATTCCCATATCTTTTTAACATCTTTTACATTCTCATTTTCTTTTTTTAATAATTATGAGACATAATATTAACAAATTTTCCATCTGTTGTGAGAATTCTTTTCCTGGGGATACTAAGTAATGCTTATCCCCTTTTAAGGTTCTAGTGTTAAACCAATGTTTGATTAAAGTTTTCCTGGGGCTCCAATGAATTTACTGAGCCTACTTACAGAGATGACTGAGGGGTTGCTGAGGTGTATGAATGACCTGGGTATATGCACACTGGAAAGCCTTTACCCAGCATGGATCAAGCCTTCTCTTCCTAGTTTTCCCTAGACTAGATAGTTTAGTCCTCCGCAAATCCAGGAGACCATGTGTGATTAGGGCCAAATTACATACAGTTGGTTGGGAAGAGTGACTGGATACTCCTATGAGGGTCCACTGACCCTGCTTAGCCCTTCTTTAGTGAAGGAGCACAATTGTGAACAAGCCCAATTATGACGATGTTTAGCTATCAGGCTCAGCTGAAGTTGTGATGATGGTAGTTATTTCACACAGAAGAGTCTGCTGTACAGCATCATCTTATTAAAAGAACATAGAATATAAAAGGATTTGGTGCTAGGATCCACAAATGAGGGAGAACATACATCTTTTGTTTTTCTAAGTCTCTGTTACTTCACTTAGTATAACAGTTTCTAGATCCATCCATTTACCTGCAAATTTCATTATTTCATCTATACTGATGAATAGAACTCAGTTGTGTAAGTACACCACATTTTTGTTAACCACTCGTCAGTTGAGGGGCACTTAGTTAGGTTGCTTCCATATTAGCTATTGTGAAAAGAGCAGCAACAAATATGGTTGTACAAGCATCTCTGTAATAGGATGAGTCTTTTGGATATTTTTGTTTTAATAGTCTACTTCTAAGCATATTTGTGTCATTTACTTTTTAAAAATATTTTCTTATTTTTACTTCATTTTATGCGTATGAATATATTGTCTGCTTGTAAGTAAGTTCACCTGTGTGGTGCAGTATCCAAGGAGGTTAGAAGAAGGCTTCAAATTCTCCTGGAACTCGAGTTAAGGATTGTTGTTAGCTTCCGTGTGGGTGCTAGGAATCGAACCAGGGTCCTCTGCAAGAGCTGCCACTCCTCTTATCTGCTGAGCCACCTCTTCAGCCCCAGAAAGCTGTTTTTATGCAACTGGAGAGTTGACTCAAAGGTTAAGATTACTGGCTGTTGTTACAGAGGACCTGGGATCGATTCCCAGCACCCCCATAGTGACTAACAGCTATCCATAACTCCAGTTCCAGGGGCTCCAGCACCCTCTTCTGGCCTCCTCGAGCATTGCATGACATGTGTGCACTTAAACACATGCAGGCAATACACTCATACATATAAAATAAAAATAATTTAAGAAAAAACTTGACAGAATACTATTCTGTAACTGGAAGCTCAGACTAATCTCCCATGCTTGCTTTTGTAGGTAATTCATTGCCATTTGCTAACATTCAAGCCACATTCAAGAGCTTAAGCTGTGAAAGATATATCAGTTATTTTAACTCTTCTGTATTTGTTACATTAGACACATAGATTTATATGCCTAAGAGAAAATTTTACCATGAAAATGGGGTAAAGAAGATTCTAACTAAATTTAAAATTAGGGAACCAAAACATCTCAAAGGCAATGTGAAATTGGAGAAAGAGTATGAGTTTTGGAATCAGTTTTGTATTCTTGTTTTAGTAATATACCTGGTAGAAACTATGTAACATGGCTAAGACATAAGTCTCTCAAGAACAAAAATAGATCATAATACAAGCAATATAGTATGTGTATCTTGAGTTCTTAAAAGCATTTTCATGTTCAATGTTTTATTAGGAGACTCATATAGTTGTACTCAAAGCTTTGAGTTAATTTAGCAAGACAATATAAAATAATAAAATCAAGCCGGGCATGGTGGCGCACGCCTGTAGTCCCAGCACTTGGAAGGCAGAGGCAGGAGGATCTCTGTGAGTTCAAGGCCAGCCTGGTCTACACGGTGAGTTCCAGGACAGCTGGGGCTTACAGAGAGACCCTGCTTCAAAAAGACCAAAAAGAAAATAATAATAATAATAATAATAATAATAATAAAATCAGCAAATGAAAAGGTATAGGATAGTCTGAAGGAGGCAAACCAAATACAAAATTTCACCAGCCTTGTCAGGGCTGGGCATCATAGTATATACCTTTAACTCCAGCACTTGGGAGGCAGAGGCAGAAAGATTATTGTGAATTTGAGGTCATCCTGATCTACATAGTAGTAGTAATACCCTATCTCAAAAATGAAAAAGGGTCTTGTTCAATCAGCCACAGAGTATGCTTAATTTCAGTAAAAGTTGTGATGACATGTGAAGTATCACTTTGCAAATTCTTACACAGAATCAGTACCCTTGTGTTTTATGTGAGTGATTGTGCTGGATGGCTTTAGTGTCAACTTGGCACACCTGGGTTGAGGGAGCCTCAATCGGGGAATTGCCTCTATTGGACTGGCCTGTGGCCATGTCTGAAGGGCATCTTCTTGATGAGTGATGAGGGAGGGCCCAGCCCACTGTGGGTGGTGCCACCCCTGGGCAGGTGAGCCTGTGTTGCATAAGAAAGCAGGCTGAGCAGGGGCCAAGGGAGCAAGCCAGTAAGCAGCGTTCCTCCATGGCCTGTGCTCCAGCTCCTGCCTCCAGGTTCCTGCCCTGAGTTCCTACCTTGGGCTCCCTGATGAACTATGACCTGGGAGATGTAAGCTAAATAAACCCTTTCCTCCCCAAGTTGGTATTGGTCAGAGTATTTTGTCACAGCAATGAAGAACAAACTAGGATAGTGATCTTGTAGCCACTCTCTACCGAGCATATTACAAAATTTCAGACTTTCCAAAGAAAACCAAAGAAAAGTAGATAATTAGAAATCCCATTTGGAACCTATTGTTTTAAGTCATTAAATTTAAGGAATAATTGGGTTTTGATTTTTTTGGTTGGGGGTGTGTGTGTTTACATTCCTAAAATATGAAGGGTTTTTTCTTTTGTGTACGAGTGTATCGCCTGCATGTCTGTAAGTGCACTTAATCATGCAATACTGTGGAGGTCAGAAATAAGCGTCTGATCCCCTAGAACTGGAGTTTTGGAGTTTTGTTAGCCAACATGTGGGTGCTGGAAATCGAACCTAGGTCCTTTGTAAGAGCAATCAGTGCTCTTAATCAGTGAGCCATCTTTCCAGCCCCTAAAATAGGAGGGTTTTGTTTTTAACTTAGAAGAAGCATTTCATTACAACAGCATTGACATATTCAATAACAATTTCCTGAGCTAAGATGCATCTCTTTCAAAACTGGCTATAAATTTTTAGGTTTACAGTTGAATTATTACAGTTATACAATATTGTACTCAGTATAAACCCTATAAGACAGGAGTTTTATTTCTTAGCATAATATGTTACACATTCATTCAATCCTTTGATAGACAACAAAAAATCTAAGGTCTATTTTCTAAAGGCTTTTAGGTTAACTTTTGACTCACTTAATCCTCAGAGCAATACCTTATTATATAAGTAATAGCTATGTAGCTGTCCCCTACTTTGAGACACTTCAGTTTGTGCCTTCTTCAATGTTTCATAGAAGTGATGGGAGACTGTAAACCCTGGTTTCTCCTGATTCCCAGCTGAGATCCTTTCCACTTTATATTGAATGTATTAAGTATATGTTGAGATATTTTATTAAAATAACATTTTTTTGCAAAGCTACAAAGTAGGAGTTTATTATAAACTGGTAATACAAAGATTTAAATTAAATGTATCTATGGGTATTAAGGGAGAAAGAGATGCTCTTAAGAAAAGGACAATACCAGGAGTGGTGGCGCATGCCTTTAGTCCCAGCACTTGGGAGGCAAAGGCAGGTGGATCATTGTGAGTTCAAGGCCAGCCTGGTCTACATAGTGAGTTCAGGTCAGCAGAGGCTACAGGGAGACCCTGTCTCAAAAAGACAAAGAGGTCTTCTGAAAAAAACTGTTTCCTATTGTACATTTATAAACCAAAACACCAAGCTTAAATCTGAAACTTTACTTTTTGCATGTTCCTAAATTTACTTTGGAAAGGAAAACATAAAAGAGGGGGTAATGTTAGAGTAGCAAAAACCAGAAGAAAGGAAGAAAGAAAGAAAGAAAGAAAGAAAGAAAGAAAGAAAGAAAGAAAGAGGGAGGGAGGGAGGGAGAAAGAAAGAAAGAAAAGGAAGAAAAGGAAGGAAAGAAAGAAAGAACGAACGAACGAAAGAAAGAAAGAAAGAAAGAAAGAAAGAAAGAAAGAAAGAAAGAAAAAGAAAGAAAAGGATAGTTGTACATTACCTTGAGTCCGTGCAGGCTTGGTCAGAGAACATGCCAAATAACATTTTCTAAGAGAAATCACAGGAAATAATTTTAATGATAAAATAATACTTTGTTATACAAAACAACTATAATAATATGTATAAAACTTAGTATTTGTCTCTCCTTTCTTGTCACCTTCTGTTCCTAGAGTATTGAATGCTTTACTTCCAACCCTAAGAAAACAATATTGCAGATTAAAAGAAGCTGGCCTGTCAAATGCTGCTTTTGATTCTGACTTCAAAGAAATTGAACATTTGGTAGAGAGGAAAAAAGTGGTTGTTTGGGCTGACCAAACTATAGAACATCCCAACCAAAATGATCTCCCAGGAATTTCTGTTCTTATGACCTTTCCACAACTTGGGCCAATTCAGCCAATTCCTTGTTGTAAGTACAGCTTTTGTTTTACTTGGTAAATAGTAACATTATTTCTAATGAGATTCTTTATATATCAATCTACAGAAGAGCTAATTTGTTTAATGGATTTGATTATTTGGTGACAGCTAACAGAGAACCTAACTTCAAAGTAATTTCAGTTAATAAGTGTTTCCTTGGGACCTTGGAGCAAGTATATTCTAAGTAATTTAAGCAAGTGTATTCTAAGTAACTCCAGCAGTACCATTGATTTCCCATTCATCTTTAAATTTTAATTTCAGTTAAAGACTAAAAATTATAATTAAGAACTTTGTATTATACAGTATATATTCTTGAGAGCAGCAGTGTAGCATTTACTATTTTTCTATTGGCATATTTGTTATTTCTCACTTTCTATAAATTTTACATAGAATATTTTCATTTGAAGGCTTATATGCAATCTTAGTTTAAACCTTTTAGGCGGTGTAGTCTAACTTAAGTAAAATGCCCTCTGATTCTCTGCAGAACCTCGATCTTAAGCCGTCTATGAGGTAATTAATAATGTTTTGGTCTTTATGTGTACTATCCCACTTGTTCATCTATCATCTCTCACTCTCACTGGGTATGTGAAGAAACTATATTTTTATTGGATAATCTAGCTTTTTGTTAGGTTTTACATGAATATTAGCATATTACATTTTAGTCTGAAACTTTTTCTCATTTACATAGATTATTGCAAACATTTTTAGTATGCCTACAATCAAGAATTTCCCTCAAATTTTTTAAAATTTGAGAATCCAGAAAATAGATTTGCCATGATCTGATCAGTGCTGTGTTCATGAGTAGTGCATCAGAGAATATACCTGTGTATGTTGATCAGAATTTGCATTGCTGTGACCAGAAACCTGAGAAAGTATTTATTTTGGCTCACAGTTACAAGAGTCAGTGTGTGTTACATGAATGCATGCACTTAGAGCATGAAGCCAGCAGATGCATGTTGAGGTGCTTTAAGTCACTGCAGACAGGAAGCATTGTGTGAGGAAGGGACTAGGGCCAGGTGTAACTGACATTCATGCCCCTAGTGACCTACTTCCTCCAGTTAAGCCCCGCCTCCTGAAGTTTCCAGACTCTTTCCAAATAGTACCCACAGCTGGGCTTCACACTGTGAACCCATGTGCCTGTTGAAAGCATTCCACATTCAAACCATATTCCTGTATATTCACATCTGTGAATTCCTAGAACCTGATTTACTTGATTAGAAAACAAAAATAACTTTGTTAGCTTATTTGGGGGGGGGGGGGGGTAGAATCTTTTTTCTTTTAAATGCGTCCTGTATTTAGGGGTAGAGTTGTTTTTTTTTTTAAATACTTCCTGTATTTCGGGGGTCTCAGATTTATTTTTTAATATTTCTTTACACATGATCTATAATCTTTAAATGCTTCAAACCTGAAACTTGAGAGCCAACATGACACTCAAAATGTTTTAAAGTTTGAATTGTTTTGTGACTTTAAGTTAGAGACGCTTAATCTGTAAAGCCTATGCAAATATTTCTAAATTTTTTAAAAATTTTCATCAATGAAACCGTCTTTTTGGAGTATGCAACAGTACACACTGTTTCACGTTTATATGAGGATACGTGTTTATCACAAACTCAACTATAACACATCCTTTTAGAGTTTGTAACTTTTAGTTTACAGGTAGCATTCATATATCATCTGTTGTATATCTCTTGATTGTGTGAGCTAGTTGGGGTAAAGGGGCTTGTTATTTGGGGTTTTCAAGGGAATTTGTTTTGGGAGGTTTTGTTTTTTGGGTTTTTTGTTTGTTTTAAAGGGGATAAGAGATAGTTTATTCGGGTGGTCATGCCCCAGAAACACAGATTCTGGTTACTTCAGATTTCATGTTCCAATGTGAAAGCAGTTTCATGAAGTTTTTATAGTGACAGAGCAAAGAAAAGTCATAAATCAATACTTTTTTTCAAATACATTGATGGAAACATTAAGTAGGTGGATCCAGCAAAAGAAATTTCAGCTTTAGGCCTCAGATGCCATCTGATGACACTTAGCCTTTTGGGTGGTGGGAGCATTGTTAATATATTCCAAAGGGTTTCTGATCTGTTAATCACAGGATGTTAAGTCATAAACAGGTGGGCAAGGAGTAGCTCTTTAGGAGACTGAAGATGGCCCAAGATAAATAGTAATTAGGCTGTGGACCTGCAACATTCCAAACTCTTTACAATCACTGAAGTTCTATGCAGTTGATCAGCCTTCAGCTTTTGCAGAAGTTTCAGTGGCAAGATGCAATTTTTCTTTCAGTTTCCCCTGTTGGTCAAGTATCACATTTTGTGAATGAAGAGGTACACATATTTCTTCCCAAGTTGCTAGGAAATATTTCCTAGGATCTAATGTAGATGAGGCTGAGTAGTAGGCAGGAAGAGCAATCTTTAGGAGAGGAATAGCTGATAAAGTCAATAAGAAAGAAACTCATGGATTATATCAAAACTTATTAGTCATCATGATCCAGATCAGACATTTTTCTCTTTTTTGTCCGCTGTATCTGACATAACATTTACATGTGATATATAATAGAATTATTACACTTGCAATCAAGAACGTCGCTTGGCCTAATAGAGGAAAGGTAACAAATGAAGAAAACACACATTTAAAAAAAAAAAAAAAAAAGATTCGGGGCTGGAGAGATGGTTCAGTGGTTAAGAGCACTGGCTGCTCTTGACAGGACCTGGGCTTGATTCCCAGCACTCATATGTTAGCTAAGGATTTGGAGTTTTGGACGGGAATTTTTTTTTTGAGACAGTCTTAACTATGCAATTCAGACTTGCCTAGAACTAGAAGCCAAAGCTGGCATTAAACGTGAGATCTTCTTGCCTCTGCCTCCTAGATGGTAGGATTTATGGACATATACCACCACCCAGGTGCTTTATCAGTGTTTTAATTGTTCTGGATTTTTACAAGGCTGTAGTCCATTGTGGGAACTTGTGGTGATCTGGCAACCTGAAGCTCATTGTTCCTCTTCATTCCAAAGGTTGCTGAGCTTTTCTGCCACCTCCACTGGTATTAACAAGCAGCCTCGAGGTAAAATTAACTATAATATCAGAAATTACCTTGCTAAGCCTCCAACATCTTCTTTTACCTGTGACTTTTCAGTTTTGTTAACGATCCAGTACCTGCAAACAGATGTGTTTTACACCTAAGGCTCACAGAACATAGTAGAGCAAGGGAGTAGAAAAAATACTAATGCATCTCTCAGCTCTCATCAATGAAGCTCACATTGAGGGCAATAAACATAAAGGGCCACAAATAGCCAAAGTAGAGAGAATAAGAATCTGCAGAATGTGGGTCCTTCGACAGGTCTCCTAAATTAAACTTCACCCACTTAGGGCTCAGGGACCATTGTGGAAGAGGGGTGGAAAGATTGTAAGACCCAGGGAGGAGGTACATGACCATATGAAAATAGAGTCTTAGAGGCCCCTGGGACCTTGCTCATATGAACCTGCAGCAGTGGTGACAACATGCACAAGATCCAGGCAAACTCAAGCAAACAAAAACCCAGCTTCGAAATGTGGAAATGGGCAGCAGGCTCCAATCTTAGCCTCAGAACTATTGGGCAACTGACTACTGCTGGGTGAGGAAAAGCTGGTCTTTAAGAGAGTGACTCTAGATAGGCTGACTAGATCCCAGTGGAAGAGCGTGCACTGAGGGACTTGTGGGGACACTAACTTGACTTGATAGGCCTTAGCGTAAAGGACAGAATGCATAAAATCCAATGGCGGGAGTGCTGTGGTAGGGTACCAGTGAGGAAAGGGGTATAAAGATGAAAGATGTTGTGTATGGAATACACAAAAATTTAGTGAAGAAATATTTTTTAAAAAGAGAGAATTTTTAGTTGCCTTCGGAAGAATGTTTGGTCTGGAATAGCTTCATTAGTTTTCCTAGCAGTTCTCTACATTTTTACATCAAGATGATAGGGAGGTTAGAGATGATAAAGTATTCGTTCTCCTTCCCCATTCCACTTTTCTATCCCCCATCACTCGTGTGTGTGTGTGTGTGTTTGTATTTTTTTTCCCTCTAATAAAGCATTATTGTCATTAGACCTGATCTAGGAGAGATCTTTGGAAAGCCAAACTTTTTTTTTCTTTCTTTTTGGTCTTTTTGACACAGGGGCTCCCTATAGCCCCAGGTGGCCTGTAACTCATTATGTAGATCAGGCTGACCTTGAACTCACAGCGATCCACCTGCCTCTGCCTCCCAGGTGCTGGGATTTAAAGGCATGAGCTACCACGTTCAACCTCATAAAGCAAAACTTTAAAAAAGAATTTTTTTTTCAGATTCTCTTATCCTGATTCTTTATGCTCAAGATGTTGCAGAAGAAATAGGGTTTTAGCACTAACACTAAGAAATACTAGCCATCTGCTATTAGGTGTTTATTATTCTCTATTTTGAAATTCATATTTCACATATAACGCAATTGCGTAGAATATACTTGTCAAAAAGGCTAAAACATTTATTTGGCCCTTAATTTTTTTACATACTATTTCAAAAGGAAAGACTGTTGAAATCGTGTTGTATTTTATCATTTTTGGAAAATTACCAGAGGGTGGGTATTGTAGTCATGGTATTTTGCTCTTGATTGTTCATTTTAATATTTTGTGAAGTGATCCCTATGATAATGTCGTAGAAGTAGAATTTCTGAATATATGTACAAAATTTAAGTATGTAGTATGTATTGCCAAGTAACTCCCTTCCCCATATTTTATACTAATTTAACTCCCATCAGGAGTATCTGCTTTTTGAGTTTTAGAAAATTAATTATACATGTGCGTGTAAATGCAGAAAATTGTATAAGGAACCCTATAATGAATTCCATGCACCCGTCACCTAACTTTACAATTTGCCAGCTGAGTGTAGTCTTTTGAAAACCCCATCAGCCATCTTATATATCAGCTTTTCCACTGTATTGTTCTGAAGTGAATCTCAGACATATATTTCTTCTATTTAAAACAAATGTCTCTAAAA